ATATTTACAAAACGATAAAAATAAACGCAATATTTCGCTAGACAAACTAGCTTTATCAATCGTGCATCTATCCAGGTGAAATCGGATGTAGATGATAAGAAACTTTTGCAGCTCAATTTACATGTTGCACATGAATTTAGCTGCCTTGTAAATAATACATAATTTGGATGAAGTTCAAGATTATTTACAAAATTGGTGGTTGAAGTTTGCAACGTCCATTGGCCAATATTACAGAATAAAAAGGACGATGCTGTGTATTGAATTATTCTTTATCTTTCCTGTATCTCTTCTCGTCTTTTTCGATAAGACCATCCGGTTTTAAAGTGTGGAGCTTGTGGATCCAAAAGTTTTCTATTTTCCTTCTCGCCGTGGTGTCCCACTCGGTGTTTACTTCTATGATTTGGAAAGTAACATTATCAAAAGGATGTTTCTTTGAGCGAAGATGTCTTGTGAGAGGACAGTTTTTGTTGGTTTTGTACCATGAACGATGGTTATTGAGCCGAATATTGAATTTATCCATATATAAGATTTATATATATAAATATATAAAGGCGTTAATGGCAGTAGACTAATAATAATCCAATTCCAAATGAGTAAGCCCTATAGCCCTTGATTTTTTTGTAATAGAAGTGTGTTTGTTTTTTGTTTTTTTTTTGTCTTCTTTGATTTATGGCGTTTAATAGAATATTTATAGAAGTCACAATTATTTCATATGTTGGACAAAGGAATCCATTATTTTTGTCCATTGTCTATATCCGAATTCATAATAATTCAAGATAATAGTCTGTCCTTTTTAATCGATGAAAATTATACTATTTCTTCGGAAAGACATGGACGTTGTTGCTTTTAAAGGCGTATTTTGAACATGTACCATTCTATTATCATAGATTCACACTCCATTGTTAGCAGAATCTATAACCAAACAAAAGGATAGAAGAAATTACCAAAACGATAATAGAAAAGTCTAACGTTTGATTTTGTCAGCTTATATGGACTTTCCTTTTTTTAATATACCTTGGAGTTCGGTATTTTTGTTAATACTTTTTAATATATATGTTCAAAAAACGCCTTTGAAAACAACAAGATTTTTTCGTTCCCGAGGGTATCACCAGCTCAGTAGCTAGCACTTTTGAGTTGGCATGAAATATCATCGACATGTTTAATAATTCAGAAAACAGGTGTGTCTATCCCAATGAATAGATTGCCTCAGTCGTATTTGGAACAACTATTTTGAATTTTCAGATTTAAATGCGCATCAACTTTGTATTTTATTTGGCCTTCAAACTGTTTTCATTTGAGCAACGCTTGTGTCTTATGTTGACAAAATGCTCATCTAAAGTATCAAAATATAAGCCTGGTATCTTTGATGAGTTTCATGGTGAGTTTTAACAATCCCTGGTTTAATACCACTGTCTATGAACGTTCTTCCTCGCGAGTATCATTAACCCAGTATCAAGCACTTTTTTTAATTTTTAGACATACAGTATGTTCAATTTCTGCAAATTTCCTAGAATTATTCAAACAATAATGATGTTCTACCCTCAGGTATAGATTTTTTAGCCGTGTTTTGCCCACTTTTTCTGATTTTTCTGCTTTAAAGCTCTGTAGCTCCGTATTTAATTTGTCTTTCTAAATGTGTTGATTCGAGCACCGCTTATGGGTCTTATAGAAACGAAGCACGCGTCTAGCATACCAATTATGAGCCTGATATCTTTGATGAGTTTTCACAACCACTGGATCGATGTCTGCTGGTGGATGCTTCGCCCTTTCTTCCCAGCAGGATATAACAAGCTAGTCAGCACTTTTGTGTTGACATACAATATCATAGGTATGTTCATTTTTGTAATTTCATTGTTAGTAAAATTTTCAATTTTTCGAAACATTAAGGGTATTTCTACTGCTAGGCATAAATTGCCCTTTTCCGTACTTTGCACAACTTTTCGAAATTTTCGATTTTTAATGACCTTTTACTTCATATTTGATTTGGCCTTCTAAATGTTATGATTCGAGCACCACTGGTGAATCTTATTTAGGAGAAATGTGCGTCTGGTATTTCAAAAGAGGGACTAAAGATACCAGAGGGACAGTCAAGTATTTCAAGTTATAGGTCTGGTATCTTTGCTGAGTTTTTATAACTCAAATGCTAAATAGAAAAGTCATTTCATTGTATACAAAACTTCTCCAATGTATTAGTTTAGAACAATTAATATTTAAGACATTACAATTCCGCAAAGTCTCTAATGCAGTTTGTTTTTGGAGTTGTTATTCATTCAAACTTAGATTGTGTCAAAAATTCAAACACGAATAAATCTATGTCAGTGATAAAAGAGCGACAACTTTGGAAACTATTTCAACAGTTGAGCAATTATTTGATTCACTGGAATTACTATATTTTCGGGCCATTTTTTGAGAGCTACAAGTGTACAATTACATATTAGGAAAGACTTAATTTTTTGCTTTTTACATTTTTCAAAAAGAAAAAAAAAACATCTTTCCACAACTCTTTTGTTTAAATATGATATATAATCGAGAAAATTAACACGTAAATGAAATCCAAAGAACGTTACCATAACCCTTTAGTACACATAAACTCATCATAGATACAAGGATTAAAACTTTGTACGCAGTGATGCTGGAATAAAAAAAAAGTTCAAAAGGCCAAACAAAGTACAAAGCTGTAGAGCATTAAGAACCCAAAGTTCAAAAAGGCACGTTTTCCCTATTTTATAAACAAATTCAAAAAAGAATTGGATACAGAACAAATATAACAACCGTTGCAGTATAGGTTTTCTCCATGATAAGCCAGGTCTAAGTTCGCGGCGGTAGCCGAGAACCTTGACCTGACTTCGAGTGCAGAAAAACGATACGCCTGGTTATTACTAGCCCATTTCGTTTGTAACTTTATGTTTCTGACTGGTACGACTTTTTTTATGAGAAAGTAGTATATTCTGCTTTTTAAAGATTATATTGCATAATTAAAAAGATTCTATTAAAAAAATGTCCATACCGGTTTTACTACGATGTTTGGATATATTTAGTCTTTAATAACTTCAATAATCTTGAACTTCATCCAAATTAATTTTTTTTAAAAAGATGAAAAGTTTAGTATTTTATAGTCTTGTGAACAAGATGCAAAAATACGGGCCAATGGACGTTGAAAACTTATCCTACTTCAATAACATAAAACGCACAAACATAAGTTCGTACAATAAACAATAAACAAAATAAAATAAACAACACAAATATCAATAACAGATTTGAGATATTTGCGTATCAAAATTAAATAAGAAAGATAAATCAGACAAACATTAATATGCATGTATAAATATGGAATCAATAAAATAAAGAACAAAATATTTTAATCTAAAAAAACAGAAAATAAAGTGTATTATAAATAACGGATTTTATCTCGTTTTTAATTTTTAATTCTATATTTTTCGGAAATCATTTTTTTATTTTCGTGCTCATTACGATTAGCTAATATTCGGTTACACCCAATGACACAATATTTTTTTTTCATTTTCCATCCCAATGTCCAAAACGGGATGTAGTTTATTTGACGTTGAGATTGATTTTGCGCTATCACATTTACTGTTGCCTTTATTTATTCGACTTCGACAAATTCATTGAAAATGAGGAAACCTTCCGTGTAACTAGATGTAAACGTCTCGAACGATTTCAGCTAAACTACCCAGCAATACGACGAAAGGTTTGTACATGGAAACATTTTATGGTTACAGTGTCTCTTGTAATCAGTAAATTCGTAGACATTTAACTTATATTCCGCATTTAGGGACATAAATAGCTTTCTTATAAATATAACTTTATGAACACTTTTTGTATTAATAAGAAAAGGCAATATGGTCACAAGGTAAACGATAATGTGCCTATGAACTCATTGAATACACGAGTGACTCTATTCATAAAAAGTACCGTGTAACACCCGTTTATGTACTGTTTATCTATAGCTCGGTTGGGGGCAAAATCATACAACCATTTATACTATGAGACTCGTATTATAAATGATTACAATATAGGAACAGTACAAACAAACTAGATTATACTAACTTCTTACACTTAATATTGGCATCAGTACTTCTGAGTAGAGTACAGTGTTATAAACGATGCATCAAAACACATGTACCAAAATATCCAGAAAACAGTTTGTCAACGAATTTCGATACAAATAAAAATATATGAGACATGTAAGTCTTGTTTCCATGCATAGTTTTAGACGATAACCGTGTCGATGAATCCGAACGTTCCTGTTGGAGTTCATACGATTCCATGATCGTTTGTTTGTTACCTCGATTTTTCTTATTTATTGATCAATGAAGTTTGAACATCGGTAAACTATGTTCGCCTTATTTCCGACTGTAAAAGGTCCTGGCGTCGATTCATTATTACTTCAACAAAACTATTAAGTCGATAAAAAAAACTGTCAACGCCATGGCAGACTAAATTTTATATTTTGTAAACCTATTTAGATTTTTCAAAATTGCTCATTTAAATTTAAGGTCTTACTGTCCACGCAAGAGATACTTTTATTCTGGTTATGCCTGATACGAATTGATATTTATCAAAAAAATACACGACCTAGAGTATATAGAAGATGTGGTATGAGTGCCAATGAGACAACTCTCCATCCAAGTTACAATTTATAAAAGTAAACCATTATAGGTCAAGGTACGGCCTTCAACACGGAGCATTGGCTCACACCGAACAGTAAGCTATAAAGGGCCCCAAAAAATTACTAGTGTAAAACCATTTAAACGGAAAAACCAACGGTCATGCACGTATCCTTAGTCTTTAGATTTAAAATAGTATAGAGATAATAGTGTTATGATTGATATGACAAACTAGTCACAATAAGTCAGATGTATGATACAATAGTATTCACTATACATAAATTGTTGATAATCTGCGTGTATAAATGCAACAGACAAATTGTTTTTATTAGATTTTTAATGTAAATTCATTAACATGCGTCATGCATTGAATTATAATAACATAGTTAGTACTGAGGCATTTTTTTTTCAAATTAAAGGACCTTTAACGCACATTTTGCGTTGTATATATGCCATTTTGTTTTTCTTTGTTGACATATTTGTTCGTTTTTATAGTGATTAAGGTTATAACACAATGTTGACCGCTGTACCCTTATTTTTAATATTTTTACCTTTTATGTCTGTTTGTTTTGTTCACACATTGTTGTCAATATAATGGAATTTTATGCAACTGTCATACAAGCAAGAGGTTTAGCTAGCTATAAAACCAGGTTTAAGCCACCATTTTCTACATAAGGAAATGCCTGCATTAAGTCAGGAATATGACAGTTGTTTTCCATTCGTTTGATGTGTTTGAGCTTTTAATTTTGCTATTTGATAAGGGACTTTCCGTTTTGAATTTTCCTTGGATTTCGGTATTTTTGTTATTACTTTTTTCATAACTGTCATTTCTACATACAATGCGTTGCTAATTTTGTTATAAAGGAAGGCTCGCTAGACAAGAAGTTCAAAGTTTACTGAAATCAAACCATCATATATATATAATACAATTGATAACAACAAGTCCTTGTATTATTAATATTTAATAGGAAGGTATATATTCTATGGAAAAATCTCAGGTTACCCATTTGCACAGAATGTCAGTATTGTGTGTTAGTAATCTTCTGTATAAAATTCTCCTGAAATACGAAGAGACATATATATCAATATAACACTAGAAACGAATACGTTCCAACAAAAAACTAAATAAAATTGATTTTTTCTGGACATTTGCGAACTAAAATGTTTTGTTTACTTAATGCTAGAGTGGTTCAGTTGATCGATAATGTGTGTATGAAATAAATATGCAATATGTTTGTAAATTTAAGTTATCAATCAGAGCCTCAATTTGAAGAAAAAAGGGAATAAAATGTTAGAAGTGGCTATACTTCATTTGGTACTTTTACTTATTATTTTCGATTAACTTTTTGTCCTATATTTCTGGATGGTTACAGTACTTTTTATACATTTTTTGCTTTGATTAGTGCGTCATTATTAACAGTGACACCTTGTGTGAGCAATAGATCTACAAGAATGCCTGATTAGCATAAATGTATCAGCAGACAAATTAAATTCCGGTCCGATGTAAGCCATCGGCCTTGAAACGTAACTAACAAAACATATCGTTTACAAGTATAACGAATATGAAGTTATTTGAATTTGTTACAAAACCTGAAAAATTTCGGATAGCATAATTGGTCTACCTATTTCTACTGCAAAAACAAATATTTTTGATATTCAAACAATGTATTCTATCTTCATGCCACATTCCAATAAATGTATTTTATCTTCATGCCACATTCCAAACAATGTATTTTATCTTCATGCCACATTCCAGACAATGTATTTTATCAACAGGTCATACTTTAAAATTCAAATAAATCATAAACTAACCTTCTTTTATTGACAGTTAGTTGATCCACAAACATCCGTTATTGACGAACTAGATAATACTTTAGATTGATACATCTTTATCACTTCATTACCTGCACAAACATAACCCAGTTAAAACAAGATTTTCATATTACTTCAGATTAAAGTTTTTTTGTTTTTGTTTAACATATGGCATTGCCAATTAATGTTTTACGATACACAACAAACGTACTTCTTATCCGCTTATCAGTATAATTGGCATAAAAACTAAATGTCAAAATTGTAGACGTCAATTTTGTGTTGCCTAGGTGTTATTTATTCCATTAATGTCCTTTCAAATGAGTCAATAGATATACCGAACAAAACAAATTCTATGGATTCCTTAACGAGTTAGACCATTTGAGTTGCCTGGTACGTTTCTGTGACGCTAGCAGTAACTGTTAGTCTAATTTAATTCATTTTGTATTATATCTGGACTGCAAAAATGTTGACAAGTGTTTATCTAAGATATGAAAATGAAATCATTGACAAATATGGGTTAAAGTCACAATATTCAATTGACTTATTTAACAGTGCTTTTTCTACACAAATGGGAAACGTAATGAACTATACTGATTCCCACATTAAATACACCAAATAATGTAGAAAAATGATTTGTTGTTTTGCGGGAGGGGGTTGGGTTCTGGTAAATGTTGTTTTATGTATTTGGCGTCAATGTTTTGAATCAGGTATACATTACTACTTATTGCTTTAAAATCTTACTTTGTTCATAATATTCCGAAATCCGGCATGGAACGGGTTTCTGCTTAGCCACAAGACTAACCCTATCTATGTTTATATCAATACACATTTCTTTACTAGTGATCTAAATAATGAAAAATATACGACAATCAAAATTGCCATGTACTTTAAGTCAGTTCGTGACGTTTGTATGGTTCAAATATAATTTGATATATCAACCAATATAAAACTACAAAAATGTATCAGATAAAAACTGTACTGACGATTCTTTGCTTAGAACTTTTTAATCAGTTTTCTTCGCCCGATTTCATTTCTATTTCAAACTGCAATTTGTGCATTATTTGTGAATAATTAATCTATTTGTTTAATACTTGCATTTTGTAAATTATATATATATATATAGGAAAATATCCTCATTAGAAGTCTATACACGATATAAGTGCGCATGCAATGATTTGTTGTGTTTACGTAGTTGTTTTGTGTTATTTCAATGATTTAAAACACTATAATTGTGTCAAAATGAAAGATTTGTTTCTTACCCAGTCAAAATAAAGATTCAACTGATCTGCAGTTATTTCTTTTTTCTTATATAGACCATATGTACTGCTTGTGTTCAAGGAGCCAATGTCGGTTTCCATTCCAGTTGGTTTGGTAATTTCAATATATCCCATTGTACTGTTTTTCCCTCTTAACCAACTGCAAAATTATTTTTTTACATATACTGAATTGTATTCTTTCATTAAAAAATATAAGCAAAATGTTAGCGACCAAACAGCCAAATTTTGATACAACTGAAACGTATGTACAGAGTTATTTTTTACCATGATAAAAGCTGGTGGCATTTTTTTTTTTTTTTTTGTAAATTATAAGCAAAAAACAAATCCAGTAAAAATGAACACGTTTTTGTAAAATCTTTTAAAACAATGCAGTTATATTTCAATCACTTGAAAATTATGTCAACGGATATTTTACTTTTATTCAACTCAAAAACAGGACTTTAATTTACCTGAAGCATATTTGAAGCATAAACCCTAGTACTGAATCATTTAAGATTTTTATATCTAAGGAAAACGCTGGTTTTCGAAGCTCCTCTGGTACATTGAAAAATACAGACACCTTAAACAAAATATAATATAATCAATTACTAAAATAACACACAAAACTTAATAATTTTGTCACCAATTAACCAACATGTATACAAGTGAGAAATGTCAATTTGAAAGGTTAATATTGTAATGAGACATATCAAACATAGAATGTCCCAACCAGTCTTTCGTTGTTGTCACATAACAGATACCATATAAACATAACAAGTTTAACCTTTCAGACTAGGTATCGAGTTCCTCGCTGTATTAGCTATGTACGTTTGCTTTTTTGTTTTTTGTTGTTGTTTTGTTTGTTTTTGATTTAGGGAAAAAAGTGTTATTTTTATTCATTTTATAAGTATTTCGTTGGTTTTATTTTTTTTCTGATAGTCTTATTAATGTTTTATTTACATTATTGTTAGTCCAATAACACGAAGTGATAGATAATCGGTAACAGACTCGTGAAGCAAATATAAGCGCAATTCGTTCTGATGGCAAGACTGGGATGGAAAAATATATTATAAAATAGTAAAAATAAAAACAAAACTTAGTTATCAGACATAGAAGGTTTTAATCGGATCTTCTTGATTAGAATGAAACGCGATAGCATTAATTCTGAAATATTTTATGCCCTTTCGTGTTCAAGAAAAAGTGATACTCTCGACGACTCCTATGTCTTCGTCAGCTAAAATACACAACGCGAATAACACATAGATATATGCGGTTACAAGTGTTTTTATGACGTGTTTTGGTTGTACTTCTTATGCGCACTTTCTAGACCCATATTGCATATATTGTATACTATGAAACACTAACAAACAACTTATAACATCAGCACGGAGAAAATAAATCAGTGAACAGAGCTATTTTTTCTCGTTTCGAATTTAACGTAATTATATAATAATTACTGGTAATATTTTATGTAATATAATTCAAAGGAATTACTGTGAATAAATCGATTCGTGTATACAATGCAGATAGTGCAAAGGGAATGCGTAATAACACGGGTATAAATTTAGACTATCGGCGCTTATCTAACAATACTGATCAGACGCGATAAAATAGCATTATAATTCATAAATTGGATATCGATTATCGATACCGTTTTGTCAAATCCGGAGTTTCATCTTCCGTGTTCGATTCTTGTTCTTTCCGTAAGGCATTCACAAATCTATATTATATTTAATACAATAGAATCGAAGCAACATCATCAGGAAAACAAGCAGAACTTTTTTTTTGCTGGGTAATAATTTCAAAACGGGGTGTATATCGTATAATACTAAATAAAGGCAACAGTAGTATACCGCCGTTCGAAAGTCATAAATCGATTGAGAAAAAACAAATCCCGGTTACAAACTAAAACCGAGGGCAACACGTCAACAATAAGAGGAAAACAACGAAACAATAGAAACACTGAAATGAACAAAAAATAAGAAACGAACTATAAGATAACAGCTGCCATTTTCCTGACTTGGTACAGGACATTTTAAGAAAAAATGGTGGGTTGAACCTGGTTTTGTGGCTAACCTCGCGCTTTTATGGCAATGATAAATATAACACTAAAATGACAATATTACATGACAAGAATACAGTATAAATAAATGCAAGAACATTCAGGACAGAGAAATACATAAATAACCAATACAATAGTACATTTCGACATGCTAACCACAAAATAAAAGCAAACACGTAAAATAACATAGGACAGCACATAAAAACAGCACAATAGAACCACGAACTGTCTTTTACACGACTGGATCAACGTCACAAAAGTGACTATAAAATTGATACAGTTCAAGATCAGGTTTGTAACTATGTCATTTGATGTATTTTATAACAATTAGAAGAATATTAATATAGAATTGTGTTAGTAATTAGATAATTAATTGTATTATCTAGATATGTCGGTATTACTTCTAAATCAAACTGTAAAACAAGTAAATCGTGTTCATATAGTTGCTTTAAACTAAAATCTTACAAATGAACTGGGTGATTAATTATCTTTACTTTTACATACGAATAGAAAATAAAAAAATAGAATTACAACTTCAAACGATAAGACATTTAACAATATCCGATCAGAATTACAAATACAACATCATAACTAAATACATGAATGTTGGATAAACAAATACCGTGACACGTCTTATTGCAATGCAAATTCACACTCAGCAAAACAGTCGTATTTGGGAATAGGTCATGTTCGGTACTTAAAAGACCAGACGACGTAAAATGTAAACCACACTCTAAGACGTGGTGAAAATGTCATTAGTTAGTTTAGACACAGACACATCGTTTGGACCAACCGTGATGGTGTCTTTAAAATTTACGGAGTGTCATTTTTAATCTTTCCTCCTCATAACTTTGTTGGAGCAGTTTCTGCGTAAGGAGCACACTCCTGTATATGAAGTCCGTATAGTGTTAACATGCACGAGCATAACGTATCAACTGAGATATGTAAACACTATACGATGGGGCAGAGGGTATGTTACTGCTGAGAAATGGGAAATTGATAATTGGGAAGTTGAAATCGTCCTGTTTGTCATAGATTTTAGTGTGAAGTCGTCCATCTGTGTCAATATTGAGGAAAAGATCAAGGTATGAAGCAGTCCTTCTAGTATCAGTAGTATCCTAAAAGCTTTGCATCCCGATTATCATTCTTTACCAAAAACAATCAAGCTGATCTGAAGATTTTCCATCTTCATACCACTTTGCGTCATTTAATGTTACATGTAATTGTCTCCCAAAATATATTTTCTAATCATATCTTTATATATTTTTTATTCGGGTAGTAGTGTCAAAACGATCCGGTACCTAACAAGTTTACTTTAGATTTATCAATTATTTATATCAATCAGGGGGAAGTGGAATGTATGCTTCCGTGACATCGAGGCATCTGTGTTCATTGCATAAACCGATCTGTTAACTAGACTGTACAACAATATAGTTTTCGTTAAACAGGAGATGCATTTCTTCGTCGACTCAATCTAAGGTTTTAATAGCAAATGATGCAAAGAAGCATGTAGATGGAATATCAGCTTTTTTGTTGTTGGTAAAAAAATAACCGCTCTCATTGTTGATCTGTTACCAAATTGAAATAATATTATCTGAAATTCCTTCGTATTTCCTTGTCACATGTGTATTACACCTCGTAATAAAGAGAAAGTCCATATATTTCTGCTTTACTTATTTTCTTGTCAAATATAATCCTTGTTCATGAATCCTATTAAACAAGACAATTTCAATATTGAACTTGTGTGTGGACCTATACCTCCTAAAATATAATCATAAAAGCAAAAAAGTTAAAACATCAATATCTTTCTTCTTTTTAAGGTTTTGGTGTATTTTTTATGTTTAACCCAGATATAGGGAACTTATATATTGTACGTCATTCTTTATGCAGTTGTTACTCTGTACCTCAATGTGGCTAACGTAATACAAATAGATATCATACAACTTTTGTTTCCTTCACAATAGATACACCAAAACCTCTGTTACATTGCACAAATATTTTTTAGCAAATTTTTCTGAAGTTTCTACCTGAATAAATCTTACAAGAACCGATGAATTACAGATTCCACCACTGCAACAAGTGTGTTACGATATTTCTCCATGCGAGGTTTTTAAATAATCAAAATTTAACTGTTGAGAGTAAAGAAATATCGTAATACGCGAGTTGTAGTGGTGGAATCTGTTTCTCTTAGGATTTTTATCCTTCCCTTTCAGAGATTTGCAGAAAGTTGTGTTCTTTATATGTGACGTCATCAGGCATGGTCGCCTTTTTTCATGACGTCACAATAGGAAATTCAGCAGAAACCAACAAAATTTGACGTCATAATTAAATTTCAACCAATCATTTGCCGAGAACAGTTATTTCACTAATGAGGAGAACATTTTTTTCACAATCGGTTGGGAAATGTGAAAATAGTGTAACAAATTAGACAAAAATATGTTTGGCATTAAATACTTTTCTAAATCATTTCTAACAAGAAGTATTTACCAACCTCCATCATCGTAAAACCAAATCCTCTTGCTTCAACACCCACTTTTCGGGTTGATATAGGCATCTGGAATGAAACCCTAATATCTAAACATAGATCAAACACAATTGATGACTGCTTATTTTTATTTAGATATGCAGTTGTCAGCCTGTAATGCTCCCAATATTTTATGAATCTTGTGAATCTTAGTTTATAGCTGACTTGGCGATAAAACGAAACATCCAATCACACAATGAAAACAATTCTGGACTCAATAAGTTGTTGTGCAACTTATTGTCAATATTATATGATATTTAAATATCAGTGTATATAAAAATAAGGAGATGTGGTATGATCGCCAATGAAACAACTATCCACCAAAGTTCAAATGAAGTGGATGCAAGCAATTATAGGTAACCTTACGGCCTTCAACAATGGACAAAACCAATACTGTATAATCGGCTATAAAAGGCCCCGACATAAAAAAAAAGGAACAATTCAATCAAGAAAACTAACGGCCTAATTCATAACAAAACAATTTACGAAAAGCAAATATGACAAACATGAACCAACGACAACCACTGAACTACAGGCTCCTGACTTGGGACAGGCACATAAAGAATGTGGCGTGGTTAAACATGTTAGTGAGCGCTCAACCCTTCCCCTAACCTGGGACAGTGGTGTAAGAGCACAACATAAGAACAAACTATAAAAATTAGTTGAAAAAGGTTTAACTTATCGTTTGATACAAAGCAGAAAAACATCAAACAAAAACACAGATCGGACGTGGCAGGGTATTTATCTATCCCTAACAACAACAAAAAAATAAGAACAGAACTGAGATAACTCGCAGTTACTGACAGCTAGTTTAAAGTCAATAACAACTAATAGAAAAAATCATCTAAGACTAAAATATCAATCAGTCCTCATCCACATGGATTTAGTGTAAAGACGTCATTAACAGTCAGAGAAACACATGACCTTGTGCAATGCCAAAATATAGGTATCGACAGATTGTAGTACCGTGAAAGTACATATGTGTATAACAATAATATTTAGTATGGTTTAAATATACTGATAACAAAATCAATATTTATACCAATATAAACAATACTCAAAGATTTAATTACATTGTTGAATTAGTAACCTTTTAGAATACGTTTATTTAGAGGATTGATAAGTTTACCCGGATCGTATCTCAGTTTTTCGAGCACGGTAAACAACATTCCCGTAAAAATTAGGATGTGCTACCGGTATTCCGTTTGAAGTAAGTTTTCTACAGCCAAACTTGCAAACCAAATCTATGTATCTATGGCAGAATATAGTAAAGGTTTTAAGTAATCTGTGGTAACGAAAACCCTCATTTAATAATTTACTAGTAATACATAGATTACGCTAACCGAAATCAAAAACGTCACTACAGACACTGGCATAGCGAACGAGTTGGGATATAAACATCGTAAGATGGTGCCAAAGGAACATCACCGTAAAAAAAGGCAAATTAATAATAGGAAAAAAAAAATCATACCGTCGTACATTTTTGTGTAGAGTTTCTGGTGTTACACTGAAATATCTACATTTAGGAAAGGACAGTTATTGCTGTTAATATTTTATTTATTTAAAGTAAGTTCCTTTGGGTAAATGTCAGCAGTATATTAAGAGAATTCTTGATTATCTAACGAAAAAATATTATCAAGATAACGGTAAGTGTTGCTGAATTTATCAACTAAATGGAATTTAGACGGGTCTTTACTGAGTTTGGCCCTAAACTCTGATTCATAACAGTACAAGAACAAGTCTGCTATTAAAGGGGCACCATTGGTGCCAATAGGAATACCTACAACCTGTCGATAAACTTTATTGCTGAAACGTACTGTAGTCGTCTAATCTGTTATTTTACTGATTGTGTTCTATTCCAAAATGTGATATTTTAACTGATTGTTGAATCGCATGGCGGGTGATGCATTGCATTCAGTACCACTCATGAGTCTTATGTAGGCGAAATTTGAGTCTAACGTACCAAATTATAAACCTGGTATCTGTGAACATTTGAATCGTATTACAGTGATATTAAATTTAGGAGATGTAGTAGAATTTCCAATGAGAAAACTACCCATTAAACATTCAAAAACAAAAATATAAACAATTACAGGTCACAGTACGAACAATGAATAAAAAGATAAGATATAAACAGACATGGGATGACATAATATGATTAATCCGAGAGAAAAGCAACAGCATGTTGAACACCTCAATGAAATATGAAAATAAATTATAGAAGAGAATACCAACGACAACCACTAGATTACAGGTTCCTAACTTTGAACAGGCACATACAAGTTTAAGGCTCTAAAACACATTTGTTACCGCGCAATCCCTCTAAAATGATAAGTTGTACAGATTCATTCGTCATCAAATAAAATTGAAAATGGAAATGGGGAATATGCCAAAAAGACAACAACCCGACCAAAGAGCAGACAACAGCCGAAGGCCACCAATGGGTCTTCAACGCAGCGAGAAAATCCCGCACCCGGAGGTGGTCCTCAGCTGGCCCCTAAATAAAATTGTGTACTAGTTCAGTGAAAATGGACGTCACACTAAACTCCAAAACATATAAATGAACTAAAATTAAAAAATATTCAAGACTAACAAATATCAGAGGCTCCTTACTTGGGACAGGCGCAAAAATGCGGCGGGGTTAAACATGTTTTGTGAGATCTCAACCCTCCCCTATACCTCTAGCCAATGTAGAATAAAGAAACACATAGAAATACGCACAGTAAAACTCAGTTTAAAAGAAGTCCTAGTCCGATGTCAGAATAGGTAACAAAAGAAACTAAGCAAAATGACAATGATACATAAATGAACAAAGGACTACTAGCAGTTACTGAAATGCCAGCTCCAGACCTCAATTTAACTGATTGAAAGATTATGGCTTCATCATATGAAAATCAAGTACAATCCCTCCCGTTAGGGGTTTAGTATCATACCATCATAAAATATATGAGAAGAACATAACCCGTATCATGCCAACAACTGGTTTTAGAATAAATGTGTTTATTTCCGATGCAAAGACCCTATGAGTGAATCGATATTAATACCAAAATATGCAATCCGTTATTACTTGACAACAGTATCGTAACTATATCCTCTCCAAATAAGTCTGTTTAAAGGTTTGGTTAGCTTTTGAGGTGAATGCCGACATTTTTGTGCTTTGCAAAGAATATTACCATAAAATATTGGATGTGAAATATCTGAACGTATAAGATGTCTGCATGTAGATTTATATTTACGAATGATGTCCTTGTACCGATGATAAAATTTAGTAAATGTTTTGACTAGTTTGTGATATCGAAAACCCTGGTGTAATAATTTTTCAGTAATGCAGAGATTAAAACATGATTTCAACTCTCTCTTGATGATTTTGTTTCATTTTTGCGCAGTAACAGTCTAGCAGCGCCTGTATATGGAGTATATATCGTTCAGTCTCCGTCGGAAAAATCAAATATGATAGCTGACAATGTATTAGCCACTCTTTATCAAATTGCATTTTTATAATCAACCATATGTTAGACTCCTCACACATAATATTATTTATTACCGAATTATTATTTCGACACCATATATTTAATATTACTATGAAACGATATATTTATTTCGTAGATAATATAGTTTTAATGGTCAATTTTTAATTTACTTTATGAATAGTATGATATTAATTTCTATGAAAAAAACTAAACTATTAGATACAGTTTAAGCACCATTATCAAATACAAATGTAAACAATGTTGTCGTACTATAATAATATGTATATATATATATATATATATATATATATATATATATATATATATATATTTCAAGAGTAGACTGTATAAGACTCACATCTTCCATCTGTAGAACAAGCGAGTTACTGTTGCCAACATTAAACCTATGAACACTTCCTTCATCTCCCGTTACAGTCAGAGATGCACTAAACTTTGGTGTATAAACCTTTTCAGCCAGTCCTGTTATGGCTTGTAATGTGATAACGGTATCCTGTAAATACATACTCATTTAAGATACATGTTTATTTGATTTTGAGCAAATATCCTAAATCCAACTCCAAAACTGAATAACACGTGTAAAACAACATCACTTGAGTTATAACAATGTGCTTCGAGTACTGTGTGAAAATTTAACTGGTGTTCATGTTGGCGATGCTTAAATTGTTGGCATATTTTTGCAGTCTTAGATCAAAGGAACATCTAGCCAGGAACTTAAACTTCTGGGGTGTTTAATTATGTCCTAAAATTGTCCCCCTTTCTTAATACCGATCAGTTAAAAAAAAGAATTAAACGTAAGTGTAGTAAATATACGTTCAGAAGATATCTCTATATTTTTATTTCGATTTTTGAAATTTCTTCAAATTTGTACTGTACACTGTCCTCTGTACAATGGAAATAACCCAATTATTTAAATAAATGCTAATGTTTGTTTTCTAAAGATATTTTCAAGTTATCATTCAGATATCATTAAAAAAGCCTCTTTTACTATTTTAAGATTATAAGGGAGTTGGGAAAGATACCCTAGGGGACATTTAACCTCAACAGAAGGTCTTGTTTAGTAGAATTTTATGCCGGTTCATGTATTTACAGTTGTAGATGAACCGGAATTTTACACAATGCATTGCTTTTGAAATTATGCAAGATCTTGTTTTAAACACTGCTATCTTATAGATACAGCAGTCGATAGTGTAGTGTTCTAAGACATAATTTCGATATCTGAACATTGAATTTTCTGCAGTCTTTTAGTAACTGTGAAAGTTATTTCATAAGGTAACATACTGGAACGTTTATCATTATTGTGTTCTAAACACATATAATTTAGTTAAGTGTTTTTCTAGAATTATTTTCTTGTACAGCTAACAGTAGTAGAATGTTGGTCAGCATGAATTAAATAACCAGGTTAAGTACAGTCACCAATAGTAGAACGTGGGAAAGCATGATCTTTATGTAACCAGGTTAAATACTCTGCGGTTGCGTTCAATTACAGTTCTCATTTTAATACCAGTTTTATTTTATGTTTACCTGTGTAGAAATGAACCCGCCAAATGGATTTCGCTGCTTGTTTAACCATCTCACTACTTTCATTCCATTTGCAGTGTCGTTTTTTAAATTATATATTAATAATACATATGATGTTATTTCAATATCTAATGCTCTGACTTGAGTGTGAGGTGGTTTCCAGTGACTGTATGGTTGTATTGATGCTGCTTCCATATCAGATAACTGCCAGAATTTGTCGCCACCTATGGAGTAAAGAAAACAGGTTCTTATGTTAACCTTGACTAGTCTTTCTTGATCGAAATTCATAGATGAGAGGCTACAGAATGGCAAAATATACGGTTTCATTTTTGAAAATGGGTTAATTGGTTAATTATAAATTCAAACCTTTTCAATTTCAAAGTGAAATTCGAAATTTTATTCACATCGTAGTAATTGGTTTTATACTTAAATCAATAAACTTATTGTGTAATCAATATCTAAAAAGCAAATTAAAGCTCGTTAAGTGGAATTTCAATTTAAATAAAGATGTTATATACATGCATCTAGTCATCTGAAAAATGCATCATGATTAACGAAGTTTATATTTGTAGTTCATAAATATAACATCAAGTATTTATCCTGTTGGAAAACGTTGCATTGAGATCTTGATGTCTGAATTTTTCACAGAACTAGGGTACGCCATTAAAAAACTACAAAAACAACATAATATAAAACGGTAATTTACATAAAGAGATTTGCAAACTAACCTATGAGCCATGCCTTGCAAAAAACTTATTTCATACACATTGAATACATACACAATTTCTTTTAGCTAAATATCTTTTATAAATATTTATGACATGATGTCAAAATAAGACTCATTCGGTAGTTTTTGCATTCGAAGCTTTGCATTATAAGCTAGAGGGTTTGAAGTCCAAATGCAAGTATGTTCGACATAATTTTTAAATATTTACACTCATATCTGACATGCCAATTATGCAAGGTCTTGGTAAAATCTGGATCATTTTATTTGATACATATTCTTTAGTTTTTATTTGTTTTTTTTTTATTTTCGAATCAAAAGGACAAAACATGTGTAAAGATGCACATCTTTTATCCGTCATCCTTTTGAAAGTTTAATGGACGCCGTCATCATTTGGTTGATTGTTATTTTATATATGTGTCACATATGACAACGAATGTGTTCTACTTGTAGTAAAAACAATACCCCCTCTTAGCAGAGATTGAAGCCGAATGTGACTTGTAGCTATTCAGGTGTTTTGGTCTAACACATATATGCTTTTCAAATGATTAAGTTTCAGCGTTCATGGTGAAGGTAAATCGAGAAAAGAGCTTTGGACGCACGAAATAAAAAATTATCAACTTTTCATACTTATATTGAGTAACACCACGGGTGCCACTACTTAAACAGGAACTGTATATGCTTACCGTATGTGTCCTGTTTTCGATAGGGACATTTAAGCTCAGGATAGATTGGCATGGCGGGCGATGCATGTACAGCAGAAGACACTTACCCTGTCGATGCAGTCGGTCGCGTCTGTTGGAGTGCACGTCATTCTCTAAGTTAACGTTTTTTTCCTTAGTTTATTAATTTTTTTTTGTTGGACTTCTGAATTCTAATTTCTCTCTCATTTTCATTTCATTCGTTGGTATATACCTTTGTCTCAATTCATTTCGGTTACTTAGCTTCTCGTATTATTTAACTTATTTAACAGTTACACAAACCGAGCGCAGCAATAATAAATACATTTCATATTATTTATCTTATTCTACTAAAATCACTGATAATGGACAGTTATTCGTTGAAAATACCGTCCTCTCAATATTAAACTTTTCTTCATTGATTATTTTACAATTCTATAATTACTTTGGCGATGAATTGTACAAATGTTTCTTAAGCAAATTACTTTTCTGTCTGTGTGTTCCCAATTAAAGTTAAACCAGAAATATGAACAAAGCACCTACATATTACTCTTTAATGAGTATTATACCCTTATGTCAACCAATACAACAAACGTAATAAAAGACATCCTTTTCAAATGTATTTAGTGTATATAAAATGTTCCAAAATCAATCATATTTTACACTGAATAACTTTGTTTTGTAAATAATATCATTAAGCTTCGTTAAAAGGTTTCTATTCGATGCTTACTCGTTGTATTAGCCATGATTTCAATTTGCTTTAGCAGTGCATCTGACAAAGGTGTTTTGGTTAAGGTTAAAGCGTATGTACATATAATCAATTCGTATAGATAACTTGAAGAAACATTTTGGTGTTGCTCTAAAGACTTCGTAATATGAAGAGTTCCCCTGCGTATAGATGAATTTACTTCATTCACCATCTGAAATTTAAAAAGAGAAAATAAAGTAGACAAGTTATAAAACGATTGATATATAGTTGGGCTAGTCTGACAAGTATTACAATTAATTTTTCTTTTCTTATTTATACCTCTAGTGTGACTACGTAAAGCTCTTTCAAATTTATGAAATATCTGTTGACATTTTTTTTTCTTCAGAAAAATAGATCAATATGCATTTATTAAATTATTTGTTTACATTACAATATGGTATAAACGAAACGTTATTACATGCTCTACGATAGATATCTAACTGGCATGAAGAAACATTTTTTTATTTTTCTAAACTAACTTCTTCTATGTAATTATGCTTCGTAACCTACAAATATTTTACTTATATATATCCTATCTGTATCAACTAAAAGTTAAAATAGAATGTTCACATCAACATTTTTTTAAAAATCAAGAATAAAGATAAAATATCATTTAAATAATTCGAAATACTAAGGAGGCGTGGACAGATTTGCCAGATTTGGAAATTTGGGGAAAATTGTTTGGTTTTCATTACTCTTAAAAGAGGGACGAAAGAGACAAGAGGGACAGTCAAACTCATAGATCGAAAACAAACTGACAACGCCATGGCCAAAAATAAAAAGACTAACAGACAAATAATAGTACAGATGACACAACATAGAAAACCAAAAACTAAGCAACACGAACTCCACCAAAAACTGGGGGTGATCTCAGGTGCTCCGGAAGGGTAAGCAGATCCTGCTCCACATGTGGCACCCGTCGTGTTGCTTATGTTATTACAAATCCGGTAAATAGTCTAATTCGGTAAGTCATATTCGTGAAAAGGGAGGGTATTGTAGTTACGACATAAGGAACATATCCGATATCATCTGTGAAACGGTTATTCCGTAACCGTCAACCAACTCGTGATGGCGTCCGTAAAATTTACGAAGGGATGATTTCAACTTCCCCATTTGGAACTCTTGGTTAAGCTTCGTTAGTAATTTGACTTTCCAACTTTTGAGCGCCGATGATGAATTATATGAATACGAACTGATGTACTGAGGTTTTAAGCCGTATTTTTGGGTGAATTTGTTAATCCTTGAAAAAGATAGAAAAATGAAACGACACACCTTAGCTTTTTTTACTGTTTTATTCCATATTGTAAGGCTTGCTGATTTTTGTCTATATTTTAATAATGTAGGATGCATAACTTATTAACTTTTTTTTTTGTGTTTTATTGGATTTTCTTTTCTAACACATGATTTTATTATTTTAAAACTCGTTTCTTGTTTTTGTAACGAAAGTTAACAAATATTTGGGTATAAAGTATTCGTTAAATGTCTTTCTCAAGTTAAAGGGAGACAATAGTGGAAAACAAACAACACAGTCATGATACAAATTCAAATAACTCACATGACTAGGTATCTGATTTTGACTTTTTCCCTCTTCGAATGCAATAATGACATATGCTGTTAAACTCGCAGAGCTTGATGCTGATCCGCCCTGTATATAATAATAATGGTCAAATGGAATGAGTGAAACATACTTCTTATGTAGCGATTCTTTTTCAATATTTTACTTTGCTTCGTGTTGCTCTGTTTTGTATTTTTTGTATGGTGTTTGAAATGTTTTCTTTGGTCACATTGGTTGTCTCTTCTCTTTCTTTTTTTGTATTGCTAATTTGGTACAGTCGTACTATTTTTAAGAAGAATCAGTGTAAATGAAAACGAGGAATGTATAGATATCTATTTTCAAGCTGGATCAAATGTTCAAACACACACTAGAAAGAGAGATGAAAGAGCATATTTCTTTTTTGACCTACCACTTCTAACATGTAGGGTATCAAAACATGTATATGTACATCAAGCAAACGTTGTCTATCAAGATCTTGGAATTGAATACTTCAACTATGGACGAAATGTATAACCATAATAAATTCATTTCAGAAATAATTTTCAGAAACTCGTAAAAGCATTTTCTGTATAGAAACAATATATATCAAAATTCAAAGTACTGCTGCCATATCAACTGATATCGATTTTATCAGATTTATTAAGTGAATTTAATGTACAATTATTTCTGTTGCTAATATTTATTTGTCTACATTATCAACTTTGTTTTCCAAAATATATTATGTTTAGAAACTCAATATATAAAATATAAAGCATTACTGCAATAAAAGCATTCAGATTTTATCTTTTTGCTAAACACACAATTTTCACTTCATGTAAGAAACATTTCTTTATAGCGAATGATGAGTTCCTCTTAAAGTTGATGTGTTTCCCTCGGTTTTAGTTTGTTACCCGGATTTTTTTTTTTTCTTATTCGAATTTTGACTATTGAACAGTGGTATACTACTGTTGCCTTTATTCATACCTGTAATGCTTTACTGTACACCGTGCCGTACTCTTTGAATTCCCCGGAAGACCTTTGCCTCCTTAGAAGAAAATATGTTGCTTTCCTAATCACATCTGGATCAATGTAAGTAGATTCTGCCGCTTGTGCAAATGATTTTAACACAAAAGAGGTCAACCTTAAAGTAAATTAGAGGCAACAGTAGCTAACCATTTTTAAAATTTCGTGAATCCATCAATAAAATAAAAATAGGTTAAAAAGAAAAAATCTGATGAAATCAGAGCAAGATCGGAGGCATTCCTTAACATCCATGCATGCATCAACCGTCATTTGAATCCAAACACATCTAAAATATCACACGACTATTCTGCTAACTGAAGATTTAAGACTGCGAAAACAAGCCATTGCAGAGTGGAGACACAGAAAAATTGCTTCGGTGAACCAATTCGTGATGGTGACCGAAAAACTAATAAAATATCGCTTTCAGTCATTCTTATTCATAACTTTTTTTGAGCATTTATATGTCAGCAGCACACCCCTGTTGGTGAAGTCTGTATAGTGTGAACCTGCACGCACGTTACGTCTTTATTAAGATTTGTAAATCCCAAAACGATAGAGCAGAGAGCACTTTACTGCTACGAAAAAGGAAGCTGACAATTGGATAGTTGAAATCATCAGATTTGTCATTGGATTTAGTTTGGAATCGTACATCTGTATCAACATCAATGAAAAGATCGAAATGTGACATGTTCAAAGGAGAGTTATGACCAAAACACTTGTCTTTGTTAGTTAATTTGTTTAAATACATAGTGAATTTGTATAGATAATACGTTGAAACATTCAAACAATCTACGCTATATCATTTATCTAAAAATCGTTTTCTTTTTTTATTCGTAAAATTGATCCTAGAAGTTACCATGTAGAACCTTGTCTATCAGAGTGACCAAATGCACTAAAGGATCCATCATGTCGAGCATATGATAGTTGACGTTGATATCCTGTAACGAAAATATATATAGTATTATCGATAGCTACCACATTATGTAAGTGGTGTACTGTGACTTCCATTTTGCAACACCAAATAGCAACAGTACATTTAGTTGTGCATGTTTATTTTTTTTTCTATATTGATTCTTCTATTTTTAATAGTATGATGTATTACAGAATGAATTTTGTATGCATTAGTTGCAGATTTACATAAAAATAATAAATACTATGGGCGTATTTAGGAAATACTACCTTACAAGCAAATCAGCTGTATCAGAGTAATGAAATGAAACCAGGATTACTTCCGCAGAGGCTTGAAATATTTGCCGTGAATGATAGACTGAAAAGCTTCAAGATTTGTGTGGACAGTAAAAACTGAACATGACCTCTATATCAATTTTCGACGGTGCTGATCTGTTTGGTTTCGAAGACAAGCGAATGTCGTATTCGTAAGAGAGCTTAAAGAGATAAGCAGTTTCAACTTGAGATATTCTATATATGCCTTTATAGTGATAAGTGAAGTCCACACAGTTTGTGTCAAATGAATGAGACTTTGGATGACTGACCAAAAGCTGTCCACGATATTGGATTAGTCTGCAGCCTGGTACAAAAGTTCGAAAAGTAGTTTACAAAATACTGTACACATCCAAAACCAATACAGCCATGTGTGCTTAAATGGAGTTGAGGATATTTTGTCAGAGAATGACTGACAATTTACAAGAATATAATGTAAATTCAGAAATTATTGCGTGCCTTAATTATTGCAATGTTTAAAGAATGGACAAAAATTCGAGATTAATTATTGCGATTTCAGGAAAATATGTATACAGATATATGCATCAGATATCAGAATGCGAGTTCTTATTATTGCGATAATCGAATTATTCGCAGTAATAGAAACCTAGCAATAATTTCTGAGTTTACAGTATGACTACTATATGTCAAAGGACACACAATATCGACAATATCAACATCTAGTAATAGCTATATATAGTTTCATACAAAGTTTGTGGGATATTGTATATTTAAAATAACAGCAATATGATCATCCTATGATAGAAAATTGCTAGCTGAGGTTGTAATATGTTACTACAACACAAATTCGTAGTACACTAAAACGTGAAGGCACTGTACCATCTTACAGATTATACAAACTAAACCAAATATGTACATCCATTCCATATAAAAGTATACAACAATAGTAAAAACCATACTTGTTTGATATCAAAGATAAATGATTTTGAATAGGGGTTTTATTCATGATTTGGCATTTGTAACAATATTTTCTAAATTGTCAAAAATCGTGGAACACCAGCGAACGTTCGGACAATACACCCAAATACTTTTACAGCTCATTTCATAATGCTAGCAAGACAAAGGTTTGTTTGGCTTGCTTGCTTTGTTTGTAGCAATGTTTGCTCAAGCATTGTAATTAAGATTGACATCTGAAAAAAACATAAAAAGGCGGATTTAAACATATATACATTATATTTAAATTTGATTGGACATTATCAAATAATCAAATTTACCTATACACAGGTTTAACTCCGCCTACTTATATTGTTTGTAGATGTCGAGCTTAATTACAATGGTTGAGCAAACATTTATACAAACAAAGCAAGCAAGCCAAACAAACCTTTGTCTTGCTAGCATTATGAAAAGAGCTGTAAATTGTATCAATATGTTTATGTACATCTGTAATACATCATGCTATTAAATAATGAGGAATCAATATAGAAAACATAATAACCATATCAAACTGTATGTACTGTGGTTATTTGGTGTTGCAAAATGGAAGTCACAGTACATCGAGAACGCGAAGGCACATTTAATATAGGGCACCGTTTACATAGTGTGGTTACAACTGCTTAAGGTCGACAAGAATTAAAGTTTAAAACTGTTTAAAAAAAAACAAATATTTACTTTTTTCTAAAGCATCTAAATTTGTACAAAATTGCTAGACCTTTATGTTAATATGATGCACCGTATTTAGAAAAGTATTGCCTCGTCGGAAACTAAATGCAATAATTTCAAACAAACATTAAATTTTAAAGAGCAATAAAAGTAAAAAAGAACCAAAAAAAACATGAAACCAATTTGTAACTAAAAGAATTTGATATAAAATTGTATTGAATAAGGAAGAACACTAAAACATCTGGTCTATCTTTCCTCGTACGACATATTATGTGTGTTGTCGTAATTTCGTAAAGTATAGAGTTTACAAACGTTACATAAACAATAAGGAGAAGATAACTAAGGACAGTACAAAGCTAACAAAACATTTCAAAGAAAACTAAAGAATGAAAAACATGAACTTTGCCAAACATCTTTGGAAAACTCATGAGCACTGAATGATCTGCACGATCTACTCCCTATGTTACATATGATTGAATACGTCGAAGAGTTATATCATGTGATAACGCAGCATGCAATAGAAAATTGTCTAGACCTTCAACATCACCAAATTTATAAACCACTGTTACATATAAATCCCAAAACGTGACTGAATGTGAAAGTTTGAAATGTGACATCGGGTTTTCATAATAAAGGATCGTAAGAATATATCGGTGGAAACAACACACATATAAAAATAAATCAAAATAAACACTAAAAGGTGAAGCAAAAGTAACACGAAACCCTTATAAAAAACAAGGGTTGAACTCTTAACAGGTGAAAATTATGTGATAGTTCAATAGATCGTAGAATAAGAAGATATATTGATGGTGCTACAAGAGGTTCATTTAAGTAATCCGGACATATTGAGATGTTCCTGCTCCAGTGTTCTGTTTGGATCATGGTTGAAAATGTATCTGGTTATTAGGCTCCACACTATATCGGACTCGTCAGTTTTGTTTTCTACACAGAAGACATTTTCGATTTCGTACATTATACGTACATGACAATTCACTAGACCAAGATATATTCAGCACCATTATTGTACAATTTGATTTTGACAACTATACAGTGTCATAGATCAAACTTATTCGTTTAGTGTATGTTTACTTGTTATTGTTTAAATGTCTTTTTGATCGAGTTAAGCCATTTCAATTGATAATTTATAGTGTCTTTTTATGTTGTAATGTTACACTACTGTCTCAGATTAGAGTGAAGGCCTGTTTAAACGTTTAAACCCGCATTTTTAAATCCTAAATAAGGAGCACGTTGTTCAGTGGTTGTCGTTTGTTGGTGTGGTCCGTAGGTGTTTCTCGTTTCTCGTTTTTTATATAGATATAGCGTTAGTTTTCCTGTTTGAAGTGTTTTACACTAGTAATTTTTGGGCCCTTTATAGCTAGCTGTTCGATGTGAGCCAATGCTCAGTGTTGAAGGCCACACTTTGACCTATAATTGTTTACTTTTTATACATTGTGACTAGGATGGAGAGTTGTCTCATTGGCACTCATACCATATCTTCTTATTTATAATTATTGAACTGATATCGTTTTACCTGCTGTAAGGAATTTGTCTATTTTAGCAACGATATCATCAGTCAGTCGCCCGGTTACATTCAGGTATGCTGATATAAACACATTTGGTACAAATCTGACAAGGTTTTGTTCGCCACATCCGTATGACATCTGCAGTAAATCTTCTATTCCAGATAACGTTTTTCCAATAATGTCACCTGTAAAACATTTTTGTTTGGTGAAACATAAATTTTTTTTGCGTAAAAAGCAAGAAAGTTAAATTATCAGTACAATTAATTAATTGGTTACCCATAAGCAAACAACGTGTGAAAAAACTCTATGGCGACTTTTAAAGAATTATTCTGACTTGCGTCCTAGTTATTTCTATAAAATATTTTTATATATTAATAATAACGCTATTTCACAATTTGGCTTCTATATTAATCAAAAAACAAATAACAACTTGATGGAGAACGTTATTGGATGCGTTTACAACCTGCTTGATTATTCGCGGGTTGTGCTCTTTATTTTCAAGCATCGTTGAGTAAAATGGTAACAAATTTTATGTCTGATTCCCAAACAAACACCCATGTTTTAGACATTTCAAAATTTAATTCAACGTAGGAGATTCCTTAATCAAACTACAATACAAAGCGTGAAATCCGTAAAAACTCATATTTCAAAGTAAATATTAAAAGGTCTGTTCTTTTGTATCATGAAACATTGTGAAAAACAGTAAAGGAGTTGTTAATCAATGACTCAAAACTTGAAATGTCTCTTTTAAAGCTGCCGAACAGAACTTATTTGATTATTATATTGTTGTGTTTGAATATTTTAAGTCACGTTTTTAAACATCATAGAGATGTAAACGGTTGTGTACTTCTGGATGTGTCTATATGACCTCACATGCGGACTTATGTATAGAAATATGTTCACATTTGCCATCCTGTTCAACTGTAAAAAAAAAAAGCATTGCTGAGAAGTCGTCTATTTGGTCCGTTCGATCAAAATGTTCTCAAATCTAATGCATCGTATATACCTCAATACCCATGCTAGAGCTTTCTGTCCATGTCTTCTGTTAAACCCTTCTACAACTAAAAACTACATTTTAACGTCTGTCTCCAAAGAGATCTTTTAACGTAATACGCATCTGCTTCTATTTTCTTACCTATTACGGATACCTTGATAAACTGAGAATCATTGATAACGTTTGGAGGGAATGTCACGTCCACTCCTGTCGAATAGTATCTCTCATTACTTAAATCTATGGGTATAGGTATATTGTAATTCTGTTTTATACCCTCTGGCTAAAATAAAGGAAAAGGGTATGTTTAAACAAAGTAACAACTGTACCTTTGATTCTTACGAGTTATATCTATTATGTTTACACACTAATGTTAAAACTACATATCCTTCTGAATTTTATTTAGATGTAGGGACGGCCTCCAGCTCATCAATCCTGTTAAGATTCTAAACATATCACTATGTAGTTTCAAATAATAGTATTGAGTGAATTGACAAAGCAGAGTCACAGAATGCCTACAGCGACCATCCTCCATAAAACTTCATTGCAGATGTCCTCCCTGCTTAGACATGTTTGAAATGGCCATTTATAACAAAAAAATACAAAATATGATTTCACATTGGTTTTCGAATGCCATCATGTTTATCATACGGTCAATATGTAACAATGGTCGTCTGTCTCTACAAATTATCAATCTTTTAAAATTAACAAACATGTCGCAATGTTAATTCACAGAAGAGTATTCATAGATTGAGCAGAACCAAAATGTTGACGTTTGATCAGTACCAAATGAGGATTGTTTGTAGAAGACCTTTCATACATCATTTCTCCTAATGTTTTCTTTCTTTTAAAAACAAGTATATTTCAGATGACGATGACATTGGGAAAGTTAAGCTCAGGTGTCTTTTCAGGCCAAATGTATGGAACGCCGTAACTGTCGTATAGTGTAAATATTTTATGTGATTTGTCGCTTTGTCTTTACGTCCTGTCATTTCTTCTTTATGTTAAATGTAAGTGCCTTTATTTCCTGACACTGCATCTCTGTGTTATGTCAAATTAATTATTAATTTTGTCAAACAATTGAATGATATGTCATTGCTGTTCTTTGTTGTGTGCAATATGCATTACATTATTTTGTAACTACTGTATATTCTGTGAATTCATCTAAACTTTAAGATCAACCACCTTTACGTTCTTTCACATTTCCTCTAGGTTGTGTCTATTCTTCTTTTAAGTAAGTTAGTTAATAATTACGACCTGTCTCAAATGTGATTGTTATGTTGAATGTTCTAAACGTTTTGTTTTAATACATCTTTGTTCTATGAAAACCTCATGATATTATATTTTAATGGCTTTATGTTGTGTTTATACATATGTATCTTCTGTGAAAAAAAAATATATTATGGTATAGCTTATATGCGTTTTGCCAAACAACTGATACTTTCTGCTGACATTCAATATGTCATGTGAATCTACTGGTACGTTATGTGCAAACACGTATTGCATTATGTGCAAACACCTAATATGTTATGTGCAAATGCCTATTACATTATGTGCAAACACCTATTACGTTATGTGCAAATACCTATGACATTATGTGCAAGTACCTATTACATTACGTGCAAACACCTTTTATGTTATGTGCAAACACCTATTACATTATGTGCAAACACATATTACATAATGTGCAAACACCTTTTATGTTATGTGCAAACACATATTACGTTATTTTCAAACACCTATCACATTATGTGCAAACACTTATCATATTAAGTGCAAACACCTATTACGTTAATGGCAAACACCTATAACGTTATGTGCAAACACCTATTACGTTATGGTAAACGCCTTTTTAACACAGATTAAAACAAAACGCATCAATGATATATACATTTACAATAATCGAAAATTAAGGAAATCAAAAGAATGTTATATGTTAAAAACAAAATCCAACCGCATTTCTTTACGGAGATTGTGAACGGAGAATAAATTGATGTTCTCTTTCACGTCCACCAACCGGGTCATTATATAGGTCGCTATAGTTTGCATGTACACATGTATACTATATACATATAGTTTTGGAATGCGGCTTACTTATATATATAAATATATAACTGCGCCTTAAATTCATAAAACATGTACATATACGTGTATATGCATACTATGTTTAGCATACCTCATTCCTCAATAAAGTTTTAGTAATACTGTTTAACATTTTCACGGAGGGGGGTCTCAACATGAGTTTTTGGGTGCAGCCGGTATTTCAAAAACACCCCCGTTCATATATTGAAGACTTGTGAAATCACGACCCATAAAAAATTTTCATGGCAAAATCAGTACCCATTCATATATTCCTCAGAAATCACCTATTCATTTTATTTTAGATTCTAAAACTTGATTTTAAACGATAAATCAAGATTTGTACAAAACTCTAATCGTAAGATGAAAATAACTGACCCATTGACATATTATCTTGGTGAAATCGCAACCCATTGATATATTTGACGTATCAAAAATGTAACCCATTCCAGCGGCACATATGTATATACCTTCATATAAGAGACCCCCCACCCCCACCCCCGTGAACATATTGGCGAGTGATTTTATGAACTTTTACTGTGTTACTTTATAGTATAAAAGCAAAATAAAAAAAACAAAAAACAATCAAAAACAAATTGAAAAGAATCAAAAACAAAGGAAAAAAATACAACCAAAAACAAATGATAGTTCCTGATGAAATGTAAATTATTAACTTATAGTTATTTCTTGAGTTCATGGTATTGTTTTGAAGTTTCATCTAGTTGTTCACCCTTGTGTCGTCCGTGATATAATTATAGAATTAAAGCATATCTGAATACAACATTAGAATAAAGGTCCCCTTTTTGAAAGATTTCTCGGTAAAATCCTACTTTTAATTTTGGATGACTATACTTTATCCTGGTATAAATGTTTTGCGGTAGTTTCCAAGAAGTGCAGCCGGAAGGAACAATAACAATTCCCATTGTTTCTCCCGACTGCACCCCCGGACTAGAAATATAACGGGTGTAAGGATAATTTAGTATTTTAAGATTATTGATTATTGGCGAATAGGGTTGAATATGGTCCGTAAATTACCCTCCCGGTAGGCTATTCTAGCGAGAATCGTGTGCCAGTTAAATGCTACCTATGCAATGACGTCTCCCACGATTGATGTAGCAGATAAGGAATCCTTTAAAGAATTTAGATTTTATTGCAATTCATTTCCCATAATAGTCGTCTATATTATTCTGAATAACATTCCAAAGACATACTGGTATTTAGTGATTCATCCGTCCCTGACGAGGAAAAAAATCATTTCTGTCATCAAAGGCGTATTGAGACGGGGGGCCAGGTGGTCCGCCCCTCTTATCTGGGACTTTTTAAAAATTAACAGGGGGTTTTGGCAAAATTTTGTCCGAGCCCCCTAATACAACTGCTTATAGAATCAAAAAAAGTAGCGCCCTCCCCCTATTCAAAAATTATGGTTCCGCCACTGGTCATTGACTGAGAAATCACACATACCTATACCATTGATAGCCTATTTTAATATGTATACATGTAATAAATATAGAAGCCAAAAAAGGATGTTCGTTTCTCAGTTTCAAAATAACAAGCTTTTCATTACCCTGTTATTTATTAATAGGAGATTGATAAAGGAGCTAAAAGAGCAAAAAATAATATTGGTCCGTGTGTTTGTTTTCCAGATATAAGCCAATGATATTTTAGCGGGAAAATTTTCTCTCTTCATTTTGATATCTTTATCATTGACACGTTTTAGTTCTCAAAAAGTATTAAAATATAACAAGGATTTAATATTTTTTTACAAATGTCTTATTATTCTTATTATATTTTAATACTTTTTGAGAACTAAAACGTGTCAATTCAATATTGTACATGTAAAAGATTTTGATAAGAAAACTGGGAGTAAGCGAACAAATTTTTTATGGTATTTAAACGAATAAAACAAGAGGATTCCAAAAATTTCCAAAACATGACAAGCGACCATCCTTAATCTATAATCAGAGGCAAGAAAATGAAATAAGAATTAAAGCCTTCCCTTTCGTCTTTAGAGTCTGTCTTTCTTTTCGTTAAATGGGTGCATTTTTTAAAAGAATCTTCACAAAATATTTCATCGATTTCAAGGCGATCCAGATTTCATCAATTTAAAAGAGATTCCGCCTTTTTATGATAATTTTGGATTGAATCATGTGGACTAAATGCCTCGCTAGCTATTAATATATTTTTCAACACTTTAACGGCAACCGAGAAAAGGGGGACCGGTATTTCTAAAGTTGGCAATATTTAACGGAAACTGTCAAAACAATGTATATTATAGAATGATTACATGTAGATCCAATAGAATATATTTGTATGAAAATTTATATACTTTAAAGTCAGATTTCTCAGATGTGGAGCAAATCCCTTATATGAAAATTTGCCTAAATATGTGTATTTAGCTAAATTTATCAAACCATTCGCGTCCATAACTTAACGCATTGAAGGTTACCGTAAATACCGTATCCGGCAATGATATTTATCAAATTTATGACTCTCCGTTCGGAAAAGTAAGTAGATGTTTCAAATTTAATCATCAATATTCGTTGAAATGATGAACAAAAAGATAAAATCATATCAACAACGGTCGAAAAATGTCTTGATTATATATAAGCGATTTATTTAACTGTAACCTTTTTCTAAAAAGTGGTGGAAAAATGAATTGGGGTCAAAAATAAATATACTAGCTGACTATGCGGTATCGGTTTTACTCATTGTTGATTACTGGCGAATACGTACGGTGACCTATAGTTGTTAATTTCTGTGTGATTTGGTCTCTTGTGGAGAGTTGTCTTATTGACATTCATACCACATCTTCTTTTTCTTATAGTCAACCAAAAAAAACGATACAACACTTTTATAAAAAAAATATACCGTTTGGTAGAAAACAATGACAATTAGAATATGTATTTTTTTATCGTTCTTCATGACACGCCTCGGACAGTTACTTGACCAAATACGGATGGATCAAAGTCATTATCCGGAATTTCAGTTTGCGGGATTTAATAGCGAGTATGACCAGTGAAGGTGATACAAAACTGATAACACATATCATTTAGAGGAATTATGTGTATGTGTCATTTTTGTGGATTACAGATAAGGCAGTTTTCAATATGAAAAAAAGTTTTGAAAGAAATTGCAGCTTTTTTATATACCCTTCTGCTTTTCTTGCACATTTATAATTAAGAATCAAGAATACCAAATTTTGCCAAAACTCCCTGTTAATTTAAAAAAAAGTCCCAGATAAGAGGGGGCGTGCCACCTGGCTCCCCGTCTCAATACGCCTCTGATGACAAATGTTTTTTTTTCCTCTTTAGGGACGGAGGAATCACTAAATACCAGTATGTCTTTGGAATGTTATTTAGATTCCTTATCTGCTACATCAATCGTGGGAGACGTCATTGCATTGGTAGCATTTAACTGGCACACGATTCTCGCTAGAATAGCCTACCGGGAGGGTAATTTACGGACCATATTCAACCCTATTCGCCAATAATCAATAATCTTAAAATACTAAATTATCCTTACACCCGTTATATTTCTAGTCCGGGGGTGCAGTCGGGAGAAACAATGGGAATTGTCATTGTTCCTTCCGGCTGCACTTCTTGGGAACTACCGCAAAACATTTATCAGGATAAAGTATAGACATCCAAAATTAAAAGTAGGATTTTACCGAGAAATCTTTCTTTTTTTTTTTTAATTTGTTTTTGGTTTTTCATTTTGCTTTTATACTATAAAGTAACACAGTCGACCTGTCCGTCATAGATCATATAACGACTCGCCAAAATGTTCATGGGGGAGGGGAGTCCTTTCCTATATGAAGGTATATACATATTTGACGCGGGAATTGGTCACTATTTTGATAGTCAAATATATATCAATGGGTTGCGATTTCGCCAAGGTAATATGTCAATAGGTCAGTAAATTTCATCTTTCGATTATATTTTTGTACAAATCTTAATTTATCGTTTAAAATCAAGTTGAAATCTATAAAAATGAATATGTGATATCTGAGATCTGAGGAATATATGAATGGGTACTGATTTTACCATGAAATATTTAAATGGGTCGTGATTTCACAAGACTTTAATATATGAATGGGGTGTGTTTTTGAAATCCCGGATGCACATCTGTACCCAAAAACTCATGTTGAGACCACCCCCCCCCCCCCCCCCCCGTGAAAATTTTTAACAGTAATAACCAGTCTTCCAAAACCATATGTATTAAGTATGTATGCAAACTAAAGCGACCTATATAATGACCCAGATGGCGGAACTGAACGAGAGCATGCATCAATTTATTCTCCGTTCACATTCTCCGTAAAGAAATGCGGTTGGATTTTGATTTTAACATGTTACATTCTTTTGATTTTCTTAATTTTTGATTACTGTAAATGTATATAGTATTGATGTGTTTTGTTTTAATCTGTGTTAAAAAGGCGTTTACCGTAACGTTATAGGTGTTTGCACATAACGTAATAGGTGTTTGCACGTAACGTAATAAGTGTTTGCACATAATGTAATAATAGGTGGTTGCACATAACGTAATAGGTGTTTGCACATAATGTCATAGGTATTTGTACTTGACGTAATATGTGTTAGCACATTATGTCATAGGTATTTGTACTTAATGTTATAGGTGTTTGGACATAACATAAAAGGTGTTTGTATATAACGTAATAGGTGTTCGCACATAATGTCATAGGTATTTGCATATAAAGTTATAGATGTTTGCACATAATGTAATAGGCATTTGCACATAGCGTAATAGGTGCTTGCACATAATGTCATAGGTATTAACACATAACGTTATAGGCATTTGCACATAACGTTATAGGTGTTTGCACATAATGTAATACGTGTTTGCACATAACGTACCAGTAGATCCACATGACATCTTGAATGTTAACAGATAGTATCAATTGTTTAGCAAAACGCATATAAGCTATACCATGCTATATTATATTTTTCACAGAAGATACATATGTATAAACACAACATAAAGCCATTAGAATATAACATCATGAGGTTTTCATAGAACAAAAATGTATCAAAACTAAACGTTTAGAACATTCAACATAACAATCACATTTGAGACAGGACGTAATTATTAACTGACTTACTTAAAGGACGAGTAGACACAACATAGAGGAAATGTGAAAGAACGTAAAGGTGGTTGATCATAAAGTTTACAGGTATTCACAGAATATACAGTAGTTACAACATAATGTAGTGCATATTGCACACAACAAAGAATAGCAATGACATATCATTCAATTGTTTGACAAAACAAAGAATTAATTTGACATAATGCAGAGATGCAGTGTCAAGAAATAAAGGCACTTACACATAACTTAAAGAAGAAATGACAGGACGTAAATACAAAGCGACAAAACACATTAAATATTTACGCTATAAGACAATTACGGCATTCCATATAAATGGTCTGTTGATGAAACGGCATGAACGATCCTTTAGTTAATAATAAATAAGTCGATTTTTCACATCTTTCTCAAATTTTAAAAATATGAATGGTTTTTTTTTTCACTCGATCCGTTGTTTCTTAACGTTTGATGTTGTCAGTTTTTATGGACTTTCCCTTTTCAAATTCACCTTGGGGTTTTTTTGTTATACTTTTATTACAAGTGATTGGTGCCTACTTAGAAAACCGTTAATCATGCCATGTGTTTATATGTCTGTCTTATGTTGTCAAACATAGTTTTGCTCTGTCACGTCAGGCTTTTGCTACATAACTTGGAGTAAATGTTAATGTAAAACATTTGGTTTTGTAGACTGTTTTGTTGAGTAACTGTCTCAAAGACCTTTACCCTATATCCGACATATTTTTAATACAATAATGCTATATAATAATAAAATCCAGAAAACAATATTTTGTAACTTTTGAAATGTGAAAATGTGATATCAGGTTTTAAATAGTTGTACAAAAACTTCATCAACATTGAAATTAGTAATATGTGAACCTGACTCGTGATTTAGTCTAATACCAAACTTATCCATTAGCTCGGGAAACAAATGCTACAAACAGGCTTCAAAATTTGAGAACATATCTGAGCAAATCTGCAAAAAGGGTTACCAGTCGTAGCAAACCCCTCTTATAGATGATTTTAGATTATTCTAACACTACATTTCAACCTTCAGACTGCTGATATTCTATGAAATTATATAGAAAGCTTATACATACCTTCACTAAAAGTTGTCTTTGAACTGCATCAGCAACTGTTATTGTTCTAGCTGTAACATCAATTAATGATGTCCCTATTCGTACTGGGATAATTGGGAAATAAACGGATCTAACCGTGTCCTTCGGAACTAAAACTGTCTATCAAAATATAAAACAAATAGTTCCTAATTCAGAAAGGTATTATTCATACAATGACACAAAGTGCCGCTAACCAACATATCCCTTTTCCAAATGACAGTACAAGTTTCCCGCCCTTCTCCTCTGTCAACAATTGTTCAAAATCCATCTATTTATTGCTAAAACCCACGAAACATTTCTAACCTGGCGTTAATAAAACAAGAATCAACTTATTATTCAATCATTAAAATGATGTAACCAACGATTAATGAGCACACAATTTGCATGTCCAAAACACCTGTAGTACGCACTGGTTTCTGTTCTCCCGTTATTGTATAATAGTAACACATGTCGTCTCCAATGGTTCTTTGATCTCCCTTTATTCTCTAATATTAGCACTTTTCGCATGCATCGGTTTTCTTATCTCCCTTTATTGTTTAATATTTTTATACATTTAAGTAATGATCTATAAAAATAATGAGTACGATGGTATGATGGCCAATGAGACAACTAGCGACCTGAGAATTGACAAAAAGACATGGATATAAGCAACTATGGTATACTGTACAGCCTTCAACAATGAGTAAAACATATACCGTAATTAAGCTATAAACGGCTCAGGCATGCAAAAATGTGAAACGATTTAAAAGGAGAAAACCAATGGCCTGATTTATGATAAATCAATAAACGAAAAACAAATATAGACGATATCAACCAACGACATGTTCTTTGCCTGGGACAGACGCACAGAGAATGTGGTTGAGTTAAATACGTTTGTGAACGCTCAATAATCTCCTCTACCTTGGACATTGATTTAACAGTATAGCATAGAACAAACTGTAAAAACAAATTGGAAAGGGCTTATATTATTATATTAGAACAAAGCACAAAAGCCTAGAACATAAATAAATAAAAAGACACACAAAGTACCGTTTTAAGAGAACTCACAGTGATTGGAAAAAAAGGCGAATGATGTTAAAAGGACATTCAAAACTCACAAGTCAAAGAAAAGCTGACAACGCTATTGCAAAAATAAAGAAAAGAAAAACGTAGAAAAATTCGAAAAAGTCCATGTAAGCTACTTTAAAACGGTTTATAACTAATAAATAAATCAGGTTTTCCAACACTTAGATATCAACCAGTTCACATCCAACGCATGACCTTTTGCACTGCCAAAATATACACAGTATCGACAGGATGGTCAGTCATCCATTCGGTTTCAATTGATTCGGTAGTCTTCTAATTTTACTTCAATTATATGGGGAATATACATAGTATTCATGAATGATGAGTCAAAGTATCACATGGCCGGGCGAAATGCCAATAGTCTGTGATATGAAAGGCGCAATACAAATGATACTAGTATTTCATATGTTTGAGGGGTAATAATTTTTAATGAATATTAAAAGGTTAAAAACAATAATGTTCACTTATATCTACAACGCGAACTTTTGCTTTCTAAGAAGAATTAGATAAAACATACACGTATCATTGATGAAAACCACAAAATTTCGTTTATTCATTAAAACTTTTTGAAGTGGGTATTCTCCATCAAGAATACTGCTGAATATTGACTGACTTTTGTCCATTTGTAAAACCTCCAGAAAATAAATAATTGTGTTGAATTTTGTTGGAGGAGTTGATTACACAAAACAGGTACCCTTTTGTTTCCACCTGCGAGCCAAACTGACATTTTTCGAGAATTTAACATTGGGCAACCCGGTTTAAACTTCTAAATGCGCTGTTATTATATTACCTTCGTCCAATCTTTTCCAGGGAAGAAAATAGGGTTTCCGTCATTATCCGCAAAACTTATATTTTCATTTTTACTCAGGCTGACGTGAACCTGCAATAATAAGAAATGTGCGTAAACTAGTATACTTGTAATTATTATGAAATATGTCCAAATTTCCTGCCATTCATCCAGGTTCTTTGAAGAATCTACCTATTGTACGAATTGTTGATTAGTTCTCGTCCTGAATATATATGTGATATTTGCCACTGGATGTTAACCAAGAAACAATCTGAATGTTGTTTGAGAAACAAAAAAAGTAATTGCATCTGGGAAAAAAATGCAGTAACTCTCCTTAAATGTATTTCGATTCGAAGTATCAACAACATACAGGCGTGATATACTTATTCCGGTAAAATGGTTCTTTTTTCGATATTCTAGCGATTTTAAATACTTATCGGCCTCTCACAAATACTGCTAATTTCAATCAAATATTATGATGAATGAAACCAGACAGAAGTGTTAATTTTTTTTTTAAATTTATTTTTACCTGAGCGGCAATACAAAAAAATTCGTAAGGGTTCCACGGAACCCAGTGTCTCGCCTACTTTTTCTGTTAATCGCAGGCTCAACAAAAATGAGGAAGTAAATCAATAAAAATATTCCTCTTGATACTATCTTTTGATTGTAAGAAGCTTCTGTCCAGGTTTGGTAAAAATCCAGGATAGTTTATGAATCTAATAAATGTTTAAAAACTTTAACTGCAGACTGAATGTAATGTTAACTGGAAGAAAACAAAATTTTCTTCTAGATACTAGCATTTGATCATAAACAAGCTTCTGTCCAAGTTTGGTACAAATCCAAAATAGTATAGGAAAGTTATTTAAATTTTAAAAACTTTAACCACAGAGTGAATATGTTGTTTCCTGGCAGAAAATCTAAGTCCATTTATAAGTAAAATACGGAAAAAATGGATTTATTTTTTTACAAAATTTCCTTCTAGATACCAGTTTCTGATCATAAACAAGCTTCTGTTCAAGTTTGGTACAAATCCAAATTAGTATAAGAAAGTTATTAAAATTTTAAAAACTTTAATCACAGAGTGAATGTGTTGTTTCCTGGCAGAAAATCTAAGTCCATTTAAAAGTAAAATAAGGAAAAAATGGATTTATTTTTTTACAAATTTTACTTCTAGATACTATCTTATGATCATAAACAAGCTTCTGTCCAAGTTTGGTACAAACCCAAATTAGTATAAGAAAGTTATTAAAATTTTAAAAACTTTAACCACAGAGTGAATGTAATATTTCGCGGCAGTAAAACTAAGTCCATTTATAAGTAAAATACGGAAAAATAGAATTTGATTTTTACAAAATTTACTTCTGGATACTATCTTATGATCATAAACAAGCTTCTGTCCAAGTTTGGTAGAAATCCAGAATAGTTTAAGAAAGTTATTAAAATTTCAAAAACTTTAACCACAGAGTGAATATTTGTGGACGCCGCCGACGACGACGACGACGCCGACGCCGACGGAATGTAGGATCGCTATGTCTCGCTTTTTCGACTCAAGTCGAAGGCTCGACAAAAACCAGCTCAGACTTCATGTAGCAGAGGGTACATTTTGATCCTGCTTTCCGAATTATGTGCCTACTTTTCTCGTTCAAGTTAATCGTCATCCAGTTGGTAGCCGCATGGTTTTTTATGTGTTTTACTTTTACATGATAGACAAAAAGGGGGGTTGTTCGCATGTAAAACTGGTTTGATCCCACCACGATTTGTGCCTATATCAATTCAGTGTGTCTGGACCATGTGTTGTTCGTTGTTGTTGTTTTTGTGCGCATATTTCTTGGAAGAGTCATGTGTATGTCACTGGTGTGTCATTTTCCAAATTTCTCATTTCCGTTTTATGTATTTTACAAATAGTATTATTATGCATCATTTTTATAAAACAAATGAAATAAAATAAAATACTCATCTTTTATTCATTTTTTGTTTGTTTGTTTTGTTTGGTTTGTTTTAATGGTCATATGCATGCTTTAGAAAAAGGCATTAGTGCTTTTAATGCAAAATGATTGTCTAGTTTTATCTCCTTGATACATATTCCATCTTGAATATAAAATTACAAAGAATAAATTAAATGTCAGATCAGCATTTAACGTTCTGACTTACGTTAAGATCTTCTTCCATGTAATTGAATACTGTTGTCTGAAGAATTAAAATTTCTCCTCGAATAACAGAATACGGCAATTCTAGTCGAATAAAGAATCTTTGAAATGTTGTGATCTGAAATAAGTTAAACAATTAAAAAATCATTCCAGATAGAAAAAAATACAAATTTTATTAAAATTAAAATGTATTTGTTTAAATATTCATCTGAAATAAGTTTAAAAAAACAAAAAAACATTCCAGATTGAAAAAAAATACAAATTGAAGGCGGTACGGTGACCTATAGTTGTTAATTTCTGTGTCATTTGGTCTCTTGTGGAGAGTTGTCTCATTGTCAATCATACCACATCTTCTTATTTGTATAGTGGTAGTTTACAACTTATAGGTATACTTTACTGAAACATTAGGAAGTCAGATGTTATACAATGTTAAATATCATTATAAGAACAGATTTAAAAACACAATAGAAAGGTTAGTTTAATCAGTTTGGTGTACTCACTGAAAAGTTTTAGAATAAAACGATCATCCAAATTTAACCTCAGTAGTTCATGTTCATAAGATACCTATAAAACATTTATCATTATAACCATGACAAATAGGCAAAATGGTTGTTAATACAAAGCGTTTTGAAAAAAACAAGCTATAGAAACCCTTATTAACTGATCTTTTTATGCAACATTGTCATTAATATACTATAATTACATTTGCATTCGCTGAGACCCCAAAACCAGTCTTTTTGTTAACTGCAAACGATGATGTTATCCACTGTGTAATAGTATCAGGAACAATCGTCTCAATTGATGCATGACCATTTTCACTTAAACAAAAAATATAATTTTGCATATACTAATTGATATCTTAAAGGGACTGAATATCGCAACATCGCATTCAATCATTTTCAAATTTGTTGAATGCGAGGCTGCAACTTGATTGGTTCTTGACCAAGTTTAAGTGAATAACAATTTGATTCCTGGCTTAGAACAAAGAAACAGCTTCTTTCTATAATATTCAGATATTTTCTTTTTGTGCACTGTTTAAAGAACCCAAAATAAACAGAGTAGTTGCAAATTTATGTGTGAGCAAAAACGCTTTCTGAAAAAAAAAATCCTTTTTTTATTACATATGGAGTAAAAAGATTGCGTAAAACAAATCATTAACACAACGTTGATATGATTCAGTATAATTGTTACTTTGTAACAGTAGTGCAAGTTTGTAAATCAGTAGTGCATTTTTATAATACAGTATTGCATTTTTATAATACAGTACCGCATTTTTATAATAAAGTAGTGCATTTATATAATACATTATTGAACTTTCAATCGACTTTGTGTCTGTATTTACAAACAATGATCTGTTCAGACTACACAAGGATCAATTTTTCTATGCGACCAGGATTCCCTATATCACGAAATCAGATAAAGTATAGGGTAATCCTGTAACGTGTGTATCTTTGGTATCTACAGTGTGTGTACGGTTAATTATCACGACCTGAAACTGAGACAACCAACATCCCAACATGAGGACGTCGAATTAATGTTTAAGGTAACCTGTTAAAGACTACATATTGTAACCGATCTATACTTTTATTTTATTGTTTGCTAAAAGATAAATTTAATTTAATTTCAATTTCATAGTATACATAATAGTGTCATAACACAACTCACACCGTTCTTATTGTATGGATAAAACGAGAAAAAAGCTGACATAAAATCCTTAGATTCTTTTTTCAATTCAGTAATGAAATTGTTAATATTCGTATTAAGCATTTTTAAAGAACATTTTACTCCTAACAACAACCATAATAGCAAAATTCCTCGCATCAAACATAAGCTAAAAGAACCAGACAAGGAATTTGTTTTTTGTCCCGGTTGATGTATCCTTATTGTTTGACGTAAATTTTATATTGAGATTCTGTAATAGGAAATCACAAATTCTCCAACTATCCAACTGACTCAATTTCCGGGAAATGACATCTGTAACAAGCAACAACTTTTAGCTACCTCTTTACAAGCAGAACCGAATAACATGAAAATTCCAACTATGTACTGGCTTCCGAAGCTGCACAAAAAACCTTACAAATAAAGATTTATTTCGTCTTCAAGCCATTGTTTCACTACTAAATTGTCTATTCTACTTACTAGTACACTTTGTACAATAAAAAACCTGATAATAAACTTTACAAATAAGGTCTACGAAAATAATGGAATTAATTACTTTTGGGGTGTCAAAAATGCGTTGAAAGAACGTGATAAATTGCTTATATCGGCGCTTTCAAATCTGTTCAAAGTTTTGATTTTCCTACTCTATAAACCATTCATTGCCTCATAACCTCATTAAGAAAAAAAATCACATACCTTATTTAATGGGCATTTACAAAGTCAGAATGTGAATATATATGTTCAAACTATTTTATGTAATTTTTTAGTAACAACAAACAAAAGTACTGTCAATTAAACCTGCTTTGATATTATTACTGCACTAGAATTTTAACTAGATAATATTTCTGTTCGCTATGAAGACTCCGTGTATCTCCAAGTTATCGGAATTCCAACTGCCTTACTGTGAACCCCTAATTGCGGATCTGTTTCTGTATTGTTACGACTCACAATGTATGTCTCAAATCAGCAAAGACCCGTCGAAACAACATCTGATACAAAATTTTAGCAACACTTTTAGATATGTTGATGATATTTTGGCTCTCAATAATGATGACTTCAGTTTGTACACTAAAAAGATTTATCCTGTTGAACTTACTTTAAATAAAGCTTATACTAACAATGAACACTGCTCTTTCTTGGATCTTGATATCTATATCTCGAATGGGAAGTTTATTACTAAAATTTACGATAAAAGAGATGACTTTTCATTTCGTATAATTAATTATTCGGTTTTAGATGGTGGCGTTCCCTTTGCACCATCGTATGGTGTTTATATATTTCAACTTTTTCGATTCGCTCGTGTACGTAACAACGTTTTTGATTTTAACGGAAGAAACCTCTGGATTACTGAAAAATTATTACACCAGGGTTTTTGATATTACAAACTTGGGCTGTTTTCTGCTCTTTGGTCGGGTTGTTGTCTCTTTGACACATTCCCCCTTTCCATTCTGTATTCTATGATTTTGATATGAACCTGGTGGTGGTATTCATCCATAACCACGTCTCTGGGAACTTTGATCTTTTACGTTGAGGTTCCGTTAATGAAGGAGTTGATGTTTTTGAGTCTCCTAAGGCCGATGGGACTGCCGTTCTCACTGTGCTTGTCTGTGTCTCCATAGCAAATGATATGTGTGTTGTTGTGCTCCCTCCAAATCGCTTTGGAGCTGTTACACGAGCTCTTTGTGCTTTGAAAAAAGTTAAATAACTGCGTATGTGTTCAATGGTATCATTAACTATGCATTTAATCAAAGTATCATTATAATTAGTCAATACATTCATAATGTTGTCGTTAATAAATAAACTCATAATAGAAACCAGGATTTAAATTTTGTACGCCAGTCACGCGTTTCGTCTACAAAAAGTGACGCTCGAATCAAAAAGGTTAAAAAGGCCAAATAAAGTACAAAGTTGAAGAGCATTGAGGACCCAAAATTTCGAAAGGTTTTGTCAGATACAACTAAGTTAATCCATTCCTAATTATAATTTACTTAATATAACCTAATTTTGAACATTATGGCATGTATAAATTCGATCTCATAATTACTTTTTTTAGATTACTTTTAATCTTGTTATTTGTCATTGATTGACTAGCGCTCATTTAATCCAAAGAAGTCATCAATCATTACATTTAACTAGGTGGAACTGTTTTAGTAGCATAAAACGTATGTCTCTCATTCATCAATAACTGTCCCTTCAGACAAAGTAACTATAGTACTGAAAGGTTTTTTCATGACAAATTAAATTTATATATACTTAATGGGTGGGAATTTTGTGAAGGGGGGTAAACAATTCAACAAATCTTATATGAAGGGGTGGTGATGCTTCAAACCTCATCCCTGGACAAAACATTGGGGCATTAATGAGATCGTATCATGAAATTAAAAATACATAAGGTTTAGTTACTTGTATTGGGGATATGAAGATTTTAGAGAGTATTTAATACTGGGACAGGACTGTCAAGGACAAAACATATGGTTCATTGTAAACGTTAACTTTGACAATTTAGAATATATCGGTCTAAAACGTGGAGATCTGAATATTTTCAAAATATTTTATAATTAATGATATAAAAGGGGTCAGCATTTTTCACAAGGGACAAACCACTTTTAAACACACACACACACACTCCCAAACATCACATTAGGACATAATCTCTGGTGCATAAAATAGGTTTTGCAATTACCCTGAAAGTTCATGGTTTGGAATAGACATACATGTGTTCCTAAAATCTTTTACTTGACGTTACAACAGCTTTCACAAACTCATGCTATCTCCAGTTACATCAGCATTCACATACTCATTTTATCTCCAATTAGTTTCAACCACATTCACATACTCATTTTATCTCCAGTTAGTTTCAACATCATTCACATACTCATTTTATCTCCAGTTAGTTTCAACATCATTCACAACCTCATTTTATCTCCAGTTAGTTACAGCATTATTCATAGATTCATGTTATCTCTTGTAAGTTACAACCACATTCATTTGCTCATTGTTATCTCCAGTTAAAACAGTATTTACACACTCGTGTTATCCTAGATAAAACAGCATTCACTTAATCATGTTATTTCCAGTAACAACAGTGTCCACACACTCACTCGTGCTATCTTCAGTTAATCACATATATTAATGTTATCTCCAGTTCCTTTTGTTATCTTCAGTTAATCTCATACTCATGTTATTTCAACAGCATTCACCCAATCGTGTTTACTTGGTAACAACAATATCTACAAACTCTTCTTATCTCAAGTTACGACAGTTATCACACACTCATGATATTATAGTAACAACAGTATTTGCACACTTATCTTAGACATACATCTTTACATACTCATGTTATCTCCAGTTACAACAGCATTCACATACTCCTGTTAACTTGGTAACAACAATATCTACAAACTCTTGTTATCTCAAGTTACAACAGTTAATCACATACTCATGTTATCTCCAGTTAAAACAGTGTTAACATACTCTTGATATCTTACATACGACAGCATTCACATACTCATGTTCTCCCCAGTCACAACAGTATTTACACACTCGTGTTATCCTAGATAAAACAGCTTTCACATATTCGTGTTATCTCCAGTTACAACAGCATTCCCTCACTCGTGTTTACTTGGTAACAACAATATCTACAAACTCTTGTTATCTCAAGTTACAACAGTTATCACAAACACTTGTTATCTCAAGTTACAACAGTTAATTACATACTTATGTTATCTCCAGTTACAAGTTTTCACCCACTCGCGTTATCATAGCTACAACAGTATTCGCACACTCGCTTTATCTTAGATATATAACAACATTTACATACTCATTTTATCTCCAGTTACAACAGCATTCACTTACTCGTGTTTACTTAGTAACAACAATATAACTAACTCTTTTTATCTCAAGTTACAGTAGTTTTATCATATTCTCATGTTATCTGCAGTTACAACAGCATTCACACACTCGTGTTTACTTGGTAACAACAAAATCTACAAACTCTTGTTATCTCAAGTTACATAAGTTATCCCACACTCATGTTATCATAGTTACAACAACATGTACATACTCATGTTATATTCAGTTACAACAGCATTCACATACTCGTGTTATATTAGTTACAACAGTATCTACAAATTCACCCACTCGTTTTATCGTATACATATTATATATCCAGTTGGCTCTAATGGTGTCGTTTTGTCTACAAACAATGGATATTTTTTTTCGTGTATAACAGAATATTCGATTTTGCATACATAAGCTGATATTTTATAGACTTTATTGATATATGGCCTTTAATATCGCATTCAATACTTTCTAGATTTATTGAATGCGAGGCTTCAACTTGGTGGGTTTAGAGAATAACAATTTGATTTCTGAGTCATTTGTCAAATAGAAGATATCATTGCTATCGGGTTGGATATGATAATACTTTAGATAAAGATTTATCTGTGTCTGACACTTTATTGTTTTCTTAATTAACGCAAAAGATAATAAAGACAATAACAATTAATATAAAAGCTTGTGAAGGTCTAGATGTAGTAGTAAATCGTAGAGACGATGCAACTAAAAGATGTACATTATTACATAAAGAAACTCTTCGATTCAATCTGAGTTCTTTTTATAACCTTTTCTAATCATTTACAATACAATTCTGTTTTTCACCCTCTTGAGACCCCTGAACAAGATGACAAGACAAGAAGGGGCAAACAAAATCGAGTAGTCGATAAAACAAGATAACAAGGGGTGATCAAAATCTATAAGTCGATGAAGCACAGATAACACAAATAAAAAAAAAACGAAAAAAAAGTCCACAGAACACAAAATACTAGTAGAATGAAAAGTTGCACAACAGTACCAAAACAAGAATGCGCAATAAAATGTACAGAATCGTATTTAAAACAAATAAATAGCTGCTTTCAATTAAAATATATTCAGGTATCTACTGTTTTACAGTTGTTTTTGTTAACATAAATAGCTGCTTTCAATTAAAATATATTCAGGTATCTACTGTTTTACAGTTGTTTTTGTTAACAATTTATGTGAAACTAAAAATAGACAGATATGTTGCAAATTTATGTGTGAAAAAACGCTTTCTGCAACAAATAACGTTTAACGATAATTTCAAATAGCGTAAAACAAGATAATTAAACATACTATTAATATCTTTTAGTACATGCATTATCGTGTGACATATGGACAAGCATATTAAAAAGGGTTTCTGCTTTTAGTTTTATTCTGAAATACAATCGAAACAAGTAAGACCATGGTGGTAACAAACGCGTTTGAAAGCATTCACAACTTTTCACCTTTAATATTCAAATATAAATACAAATTATTTATTTAGCGCAATGTTACCATTTTCAATTATGGCATTGCACATCTATGATACCAACGCTACGTGTTCTAATTATTATAGATAGCGCACGCTTTGTGTAATGTTTATAACACAAAGCAGTTTTAACATTTTTTATATGTTATGATGTAAGTTGGCTTTTTTTTTTCAATTAGCTTTACTTTGCAATAATAGTAATGTAATACAATTAAATTTCATCCAAAATAATTATATTGAGGATCGGGTTTTTCATCTAAAATGTTATCAGATCTACATTTCGATTCCCTTCTGACTAGTGAGCCCTAACAATTTGCATATGGTACCTTAGCTAATTGACGTAATGGTGCCAAAAAGCCCCGTTGATTTGATGCCATAGTGCTTTAGTATTTGTTTATTTGTCAGTATTCATTTGCCATACTATGTCAATGTATTTCCATATTTGTAAGAGGACTAGAACAGGCAAATAGGAGTGCTATAAAAAAGGATAGAGAGAGAAGGACAGTTACAGTTGAATCAAGAGAGGAGAGTTAGAGGAGATATATAACTAAGTAAACGTAATGTAGAGCCTGAAGTTTTAGATGTTGTAAATTTTATGCTTGTCACAATAGTGCATTTTTTATAATACACAATTCAACTTTTAATCAACGTTTTGCCTGTATTTACAAATACAATGTGTTCATACTACACAAGGATCCATTTTTCTATACGACCAGGATTCCCTATATCACGAAATCAGTTGAATTATAAGGTAATCCTGTAAAGCGTATATCACTGGCATCTATCGTTTGTGTACGGTTGAATATCACGACTTGAAACTGAGACAACCAACGACACAACAACACATAAATAAAATAATAAATGTTTGCACCTGCATCTTCAATCATGGCCACTGTTTTGGTAAAAAGATCATCATTTAAAGAAAGTAACTCTATAAAGAGTTAAATGACAATTTAAGTCATATTAACATATTTGTAGATCTTGTCCGGCTGATCATTTCTTCTATTTAAGGTTTCTACCTTTCTATGGTAGTTTTCAAGATGATGGGCAAAATTTGGGTAAAACTCATCATTTAAGGACAATAACTCCTCCAAAATGTCGACCAACAAATTAAGCAAATCGACATTTTGTAGTTCTTGTCTTGCTTATCATTTTTTCTATTTAGATTTTGTATCTATCTATTATAGGTTTCAACACAATTGACAAAAACACATAAAATTTGTATAAATAGTCATTCAAAAGCTATAACTCCTATAGGGAGTCAAGTGACGATTTCAGCAATGCAGCTTATTTGAAGATCATGTCTTGCTGGTATTTTTTTCTATTTAAAGTTTTTATCTATCTATTAAAGCTTTCAAGATGATAGAAAAAAAGGGGAAAATGGTGAAAATCTACATAAAGTGCAATAACTCCAAAAAGGGTTTTCTTACATTTTGGCAAAAGGTAAGAACGAACGTAAAGGAAGCATGTATTACATTACCACGATAACTCTTAGAGTCTACGTTTTATCCGACTAAAAACGGTATTCTATTCTGATTCAAATGTTTCTTTTAAAATTTAAGCATATCGCAAATAAAAGACGAATTTAATATCTGAAATTAAGAGAAATAGTTTAAAATACATTACTTCCGATACGTTGCTTATGTTAACCACGATTACACACATTTGCGCGTGAATTGTTCAAGCACGTTTTTTTTTAAATGTTAAAACAAAGACTTTATAATACGTCTCTGGTTTAAACCATTAACATTTTAATGAAATACTTGCAGTATGATACTCTAAATTTAACGACAAAATTCATAATTATTTTTATTTTTTAATGAGTAATCACCAGTCCTTCACCTTTCATCTGACACCTTAATAACTAAAATATTTTATATTGACACCTTTGCGTAGCAACTATTTTGTTTTAAATATGTACTACTTTCCATTTTGTTCTTTTTTGACCGGGCCTCATTTGGTGGTGTTTCATCTTACAAAGTCTATCCAAGTCTAGCCGGTGTTAGGGTCCTTCTTAAACTTGCAGTGGGGTGAGAGTAGTTGAGCAAATTTTTTTTTTTAACAAATATATTTTTTTCTTCTGACGAGTCTGTGTTTAGCAAATTTTAAAAAGTTATCTCCTTCACCTTTTTTTATATTTTTACATCGTACGTCACAAAATTCCTATGTTGCATGAATATTAAGTTTGACATATGTCTTGCATGCAGTGGTTTGGTCCTTGATTGGCAAACATTGAGGCAAAATACAATCTTAGTCCCATGACAGCCTTGGGTAAGAGTACTTGAATATGTCAAATTTAAGAAGAATTCAAAATAAAGGATCCCTCCAACTGATTAACGTATGATTCGTCAAGCGTACGTACCTTTCGTCAAATTATAAGAAAGCTCTAATAGGAGTATTTTGGCATAATTAACTTCCTTGTAGATCTTGTATTGCTGATCATTTTTGCTTTTGAATTTGATCTCTATCTATTATTGTTTCAAAGTTACTAGACAAACATTTTAAAAAATGATAAAAATTGTCATTTTAGGGCAAAAACGTCTTTAAGAAGTCGTCTGGCAGATTTGACATAAAAGTTATAAAGTAGATCTCAACATATTAAACATTTCTGCCTCGTCAGAATTTTTCTGTCTATATTGGATTTTAAGATAATAGACAAACTTGCATTTTATCCATATGTTCTATCTTTAGCTATGTAGGCCATGTTGGTTGACAGGCGATATCATCGGACACGTTTTTTAACCAAGATACCCCAAATGTGATTGTAGTCAAGTTTGGTTCCAATTGGCCCAGTAGTTTCAGAAGAGAAGATTCTTGTAAAAGTTAACGGGCGACGATAGAGAACAAAAGGCGACGGACAAAAGTTGTTTGGAAAAGCTCACACTGGCCTTTTGGGATAAGCTAAAAGAGAGAAATGTTTTGGATATCTAACGAAAAAAGATTAATGGTTGTAAATAGCAAAATGTACAAAAACATTATTTTTCGCATAAAATCTGTTTTTTTTTATATTATTACAATAACAGAAACTTACATCCCCTTTCCTCGGGCCCTTCTCTTCAAATGGTTGAGATCCAAATAAGTCAGAATCATTTAAGTTACAGCAGTCTAAGGGGGCAAGAAATGTTATTGTGGGAATGATTATAAAAACGTTGATTTAAAAAAAAATTAAAAAAAAATTATTTGCAGCAAGATTAAAACAATTTTTTCCGATATGGGTTAAAAAAATTACTTGGGGTATAAATCCCTGTACCCCTACAACCACCTTCTGAAAATCAAATTGTTGCGCCTTAATTATGTAAGATTATGTAATCATTCTAATGCTGCCGTATGTAAAGTTAGAAAGAAATACGACAAGCTAAGATATGAACGTCGAGTTAATATTTCGGGAACCCGTTAAAGATTATGCTATGTATTTCATTGTGTACTAACAGATTTTTAAACCGTAATTTCAATTTAAATTTCACGCTTAATTTTTATATTAACCTCGTTGTGGTATTCAGCCATAACCATGTCTCTGGGAACTTTGATCTTTTGCGTTGAGGTTCCGTTAATGAAGGAGTTGATGAGTCATCTGAGGCCGATGGGTTTGTTGTTTCCAACATTACAACTGTGGTCCTTGTTTGGGTCATCATAGCAAAAGTTGTACCACTTTGTGTTGTTGTGCGTCGTCCAAATCGCCTTGGAGGAGCTGTTATTCGAGATCTTTGTGCTTTGAAAAAAATTACATTACTGCGAATGTGTTCAATGTTTCATTTTAATTAGTCAATACATTCATAAAGTTGTCGTGTTATAATCAATTAATAAAACCTACTTTAGAAAATATTTGCATGTAGAAAAATCTTTATATTACGAAAGAAGTCTTATTCAAAATTTTATTTCTTGAGACAGGACTGCCAGTATAAACATATGGTTCACGGAAAACATTTACTCTGACAATTAAGAAATGAAAATAACACTTTATAAATTCCTTTCGTCCGAAGCGATTTTCGTTTCTTAATAATTTTTAAATATATAAACGAACAATTTAAGAAAGGTTTGTTATAAATCATGTCAGTACCGAAGTACGGACTACTAAGCTGTTTATACCCTAATTAGGAATAATAAGTTATATGAAAGGGGTCAGGAATGTTCCCACGGGTCAAAACACCATTTACACACACACACAAACACACACACATCACATAAGGACAAATCCTTCGTCGCATTAAAAATGATTTGCCATTACCTTGAGAGTACAAGGTTTATAATGGGAAAAAATCATTTACTTGATGTTACAACAGCATTCGCCAACTCAAGCTATCTCAAGTAACAACCACATTTACTCTCAAGTAATTACAATAGCGTGCACATACTTATATCATCTCCAGATACTTACAACTACATTATCTCCTATTACAACAGCATGCACATGCTCACATAATTTCCAGTTAGTTACAACATCTTTCGCATACTCATGTTATCTCCAGTTACTCACAACATCATTCATATACTTATTTTATCTTCAGTTACTTACAACATCATTCACATACTCATGTTATGTCCGGTTACTTACAACATCATTCCCATACTCATTTTATCTCCAGTTAGTTCCAACCACATTCACATACTTATGTTATCTCATGTAAGTTCCAACATCATTCACATACTCATGTTATCTTATCTCCAGTTAGTTACATCATTCACATACTCATTCTATCCCTAGTTAGTTAAATCATTCACATACTTATTTAACTCCAGTTACAACAGCATTTACACATTCGTGTTATCTTCAGATAATTACATACTCATTTAACTCCAGTCACAACAGTATTTACACTCTCTCGTTATCTGAGATGCAACATCATTCTCATACTCATGTTATCTTATCTCTATTTGGTCACAACATCATTTACATACTCATTTAACTCCAGTCACAACAGTGATAACAAACTATTATCTCAAATTACAACAGTATTTACACTCTCGTGTTATCTTAGTTTCAACAGTATTTATATACTCATAAACATATTGTATCTCAAGTATTTACACTCTCGTGTTATCTTAGTTTCAACAGTATTTATATACTCATAAACATATTGTATCTCAAGTTGGCCCTCATGGTGCCGTTTTCTTAAACAATAGAGCTTTTACGTTTAAACAGAATATTAGATTTTACATGTATTAGTGATATCTTATAGGTTGCATTTCTGTAAATATAGACAATGCAATTTCCCATAGGAACTCCCTTTGCGGCTAAAACTGTGCCACTTTTACTATGAAGCTTCGTAAAACATTATATCCTAGAATGGAAAGTTGATATGCACTACTATTTATTTCAAAGGTCAACGATAGGGCTGTGCGGCATATTTTCAACATTTATATGCCCCGAACTTGTAAGGGTTTAAACTTATACTAAAATTCTGTACTACCCCTACCTTCACTTTGTGCCTTCTTCAGAATTCAATTTTCACCGCAACAATATGTTTTTAAACTGGTAACATTCCCAAGTTATGTCTCTATGAGATGAAACATAGAGATCATATCTGGGAACCAGTACGTAAACAAAACGAAATATCTATGAATATTATATATCTCCGTAAAAGAGGCGTGGTTTGAGAAACAGCTGTATTTACAAAGTGCAACCTATAGGCTTTATTAAAATATGACCTTAATATCTAAACCTCGCATTCAATACTTTCCAGATTTGTCAAATGTGAGGCTGCAATTTGGTTGGTTTAGAGAATAACAATTCGATTTCTGATTCATTTGTCAAAACAAATAATATGTCTATCGGGTTAGATATGATACATACTTTAGATATAGGTTTCTGTGTGCCTTAATTATTTTCTTAATTAACGCAAAAGACAATCAAGACAATAACAATCAATATAAAAGCTTTTAAAGATCTGGTTGTAGCAGTAATTCGTAGAGATTAATAGATGTACATGTAACGTTTTTACATAAAGAAACTCGTCGACTCATTCTGAGTTCTTTTTGTAACCTTTTCTATCACAATCAAAACAAGGGTGCGCAATAAAATGTACAGGATCATATTTAAAACAAATAAACAGCTGCTTCCAATTCAAGCATATTCGGATATCTACGTTTTTAAAGTTGTTTTTGTTACAAATTCTTGTGAAACTAAAAATAGATATGTTACAAATTCATGTGAAACTAAAAATAAACAGATGTGTTACAAATTTATGTGTGAAAAAAGATTTCTGCAATAAAAACACTTTTTATTACAAATAAAGTTAAAAGATTATTCCAAATAACGTTACATAAGATTATTACACATATCATTGATATGTTTTAGTACATGCAATGTTGTATGACTTTATGGCAAACATAATTAAAAGGGTTTCTGTTTTAGCTGTATTCTGAAGTACAATCGATACAGGAAAGACCGAGATAACATAGTAACAGATGCCCTTGATAGCATTCGCAACTTTTCACCTTTACTATTCAATTATAAAAACAAATCATTTATTCAGCGCAATTTTGCCATTTTCAATTATGGCATATGCATATGTATGACATCAACGCTATGTGTTTTAAATATTATAGGTAGCGCCGCACGCTTTGTGTAATGCGTATAACACAAAGCAATTCTGACATTTATTATATGTTTTGCCAGTTGTATTTATTTATGTGTATCAGCTTTACTGACTTGCATTAATATTCATTTAATACAATTAAATTTCATCATAAATAATTATATTGAGAATCGGGTATTTCATCTAAAATGCTATCAGATATACATTTAGATTCCTTTGAGTGACTACTGGGCCCTTACAATTTGCATATGGTACCTTTGTAAATTAACGTAATGGTGCCCAAGTGCCCTGTTGATTTGGTGCAATAGTGCCCTAGTAATTATTCATTTGTCAGCATTCATTTGCCCTACTATGTCAATGTATTTCTATATTTGTATGAGGGCTAGAAAAGGCAAATAGCCTACAATCATTGTTTGGGTATCTTGTTTTTAAAAAATGTGTCCGATTATATCACCTGTCAACCAACATGGCCCACATTGCTAAAAATAGAACATATGGGTAAAATGCAAGTTTTGTCAATTATATTAAAATCCAATATAGATAGTAAAAATCTGACATGGCAGAAATGAGATCTACCTAATAACTATTACGTCAAATCTGTCAGACGACTTCTTATAGGAGTTATTGCCTTTAAAATTTTACCATTTAAAAAAAACTATACTAGATATAGAGAAACTTAAAAAAGCAAAAATCATAAGCAATACAAGAACTACAGATAAGTCAACTTTGTCGAATAGTCAGTCAACTACTGACTGGAGTTTTATCCCCCCCCCCTCCTTTATGTCTATTATCTCGAAAGCTTTAAAAGATAGATAGAAACTTTAAATAGAAAAAAAGATCAGCAAGACATGAACAACTAATAAGTTGCATTGCTGAAATCGTCACTTGACTCTTTAAGGGAGTTATGGCCTTTAAATTACTATTTTAAACAAATTTATGTATGTTTGCCAATAATGTTGAAAAATACAAGAGATAAATAGAAAATTTTAATAAGAAAAATGATAAGAAAGACAAGATCTACAAAACAGTTGATTTGCTGAAATCGTTGGTTGACTCTTTGTTGGAGTTATTGTCCTTAAATGATAAATTTTACCATAATTTTGACCATTATCTCGAAAACTATAATAGAAAGATAGAAGCTTTAAATTGAAGAAAAAATCAGCCGGACAAGATCTACATATATGTTAAATGACTGAAATTGTCATCTAACTCTTTATAGAGTTACTTCCTTTAAATAATGATTATTTACCACAAAAAGTGGCCATAATTATAGATGCAGGTGAGCGACACAAGCTCTATAGAGCCTATAGTTAATTCTTGGTGCAAACATTTATTTTCTTATTTATACGTTGTTGTGTGGTTGGGTATCTCAGTGTCAGGTCGTGATAATCAACAGTACACAATCGACAGATGCCAAAGATAAACACGTCAGATTGTTACCCTATAGTTCTACTAGTAGCTTGGTATAGTGAACCCTGGTCACATAGAAAAACGGATCCTTGTCTAGTATAAACAAATCTTTGTTACTGAATATAGACAAAAGGTCGATTAAAAGTTCAATATTGACTAATAGCGTTTGCTGTTGTCAGTTTTTATGGACTTCCCCTTTTGAATTTGCCTTGGAGTTCGGCTTTTTCGTTATACCTTTTTTGTATCATAAAAAATGCCCTATTGTAACAATGTAACAAGCATAAAATTTACAACATCTCAAACTTCAGGCTCTACAATACGTTTAGTTAGTTATATATCTCCTCTGACTTTCTTCTCTATCTTTTCCTTTAACTGGCCTTCCCTCTCTATCTCTTTTTTTTCTATATATCACCGCTATTTCAATTTGTATCAAAATTTAGTTGAAATTGGTCCAGTAGTTTCAGAGGTGAAGATTTTTGTAAAAGTTAACGGGCGACGACGAACGAGGAAATTTGTTGGGAAAAGCTCACACTGGCCCTTTGGACCAGGTTAGCTAAAACAGAAATGTTTTAGATATCTAACGAAAAATGATTAAAGGTTGTGAATAGCAAAGTGTGTAAAAATATAAATTTTCGCATAAAATATTTATAAAAAATCGCCTCCCTACGGTCGATATTACTATTACAAAAATTGCATCCTCTTCCCTCGAGCACTTGATCTGCCCCTTCAAATAGCAAAGAATTCAGAATCAGTTAAGCCACAGCAGTCTAAGTGAGCAAGACTCATGAACTGAATTTTAATGTGCGTATTGTTATGCGTTTACTTTTCTACATTGGCTAGAGGTATAGGAGGAGGATTGAGATCTCATAAACTTTTTGCGCCTGTCCCAAGTCAGGGGCCTCTAGCCTTTGTTAGTCTTGTATTATTTTTAATTTTAGTTTCTTGTGTACAATTTGGAGTTTAGTATGGCGTTCATTATCACTGAACTAGTATATATATTTGTTTAGGGGCCAGCTGAAGGACGCCTCCGGGTGCGGGAACTGCTGTTGTCTGTTCTATGGTCGGGTTGTTGTCTCTTTGACACATTCCCCATTTCCATTCTCAATTTTATTAAGAATTGTTACTTGGAGGGATTCTAAAAAAGTTTGATCTTGAAAAAAGAAAAAAACAAATAGTTTGCACCAAAAATTAAAACAATCTGTTTTCCGATCTGGGTTTTGACAAATTACTTGGGGTATAAATCCCTCACCCCTCCCACCAGCCCCTGAAAATCAAATGGTTGATCCCCAATTAGGTAAGATTATGTAGTTATTATAATGATGTCGTATATAAAGTTAGTTAGAAATATGACAAGCTAAGATATGAACATCAAGTTTATGTTTCGGGAACCCCGTTGAAGATTATGTGCTATGTATTTCATTATCTGCTGAAAATGTTATATGAATTTAATTTTCAATTACATATTAGTTCGCTTAATTGTGATAATAACCTCGTTGTGGTATTCAGCCATAACCATGTCTCTGGGAACTTTGATCTTTTACGTTGAGGTTCCGTTAATAAAGGAGTTGATGGTTCAGAGTCTCCTGAGGCCGATGGGGTTGCTGATACCCCCATTGTTACTGTGGTCATTGCTTGGCTCATCATCATCGTAGTTGTTCCACTTTGTGTTGTGGTTTGTCCGAATCGCTTTGGATTAGTTACTCGATTACTTTGTGCTTTGAAAAAAGTTACATTACTGTAAATGTGTTCAATGGTATCATTAACTATGCATTTAATCAAAGTTTCATTGTAATCAATAAATACATTCATAAAGTTGTCGTGTTATAATTGATTTAATATATTCTACTGTAGAAAATATTTGCATGTAGAAAAAACTATTATTACGTAAGGTCACAAATTTTTATCTAAAATTATAATTACTCGGGACAGGACTGCCAGGGAAAACATATGGTTCACTGTAAACGTTTATTTTGACAATCAAAAAGTAAAAAAACAACACTTTATAAATTCCATTAGTTCGAAGCGATTATCTGGATTTACCTTCACCATGAACGCTCACAGCCTAATATTTGAAAGCCAATGATGAATGAGAACCGAAAGGGCTGAAGAGCTGTCTGACCAAAGTGGACCTAAAAATATTAGCCAAATCCATGTGAGGTCAACTTTGCCTGAGGGAGTTGAAACCTTAGTTTCTTAAAAGAGAAGCGAAAGATACCAAAGGGACATCCAAACTCATAAGTCGAGAATAAACCGACAACGCCATGGCTAAAAAAGACAAAAAAAAACAGACAAACAACAGTACACAAAAAACAACATAGAAAAATAAAGACAGAGCAACACAAACCCCACCAAAACAGGGGGTGATATCAGGTGCTCCGGAAGGGTAGACAGATCCTACTCCACATGTGGCACCCGTCGTGGTGCTCATGTAAGTACAAGCCCGGTGATAAGTCTAATTAGGTGGGTCAAATTCGGGGAAAAGAGGATGGGATGATTATGGTATATGATAATTTCTAAATCTATAAACGGACAAGTTCAGAAAGGTTTGTTATAAATCAAATCAGTTGATGATACCCTCGGGGACTGATAATCCACCAGCAGTGGTAAAGACTCAGTGCTGGACAAAATAAAAACAACACTTTATAAACTTGATGCGTCAAAAGCGCCTTTTCTTTTATTTATCTTCATCATGAGCGCTGAAAGCCGAATATATTTGAAAGCCAATGATGTATAAGAACCGAAACTGTTGATGAGTTAAAGGCACAAAAAAGACCTAAAAAATAATAGCCGAATTCGTCTAAGGTCAACATTGTCTGATTGAAACCTTAGATTCTTAATAATCATAAATTTATAAACGAAAACTTTTAGAAAAAGTTTGTTATAAATCATGTTGGTACATATTGATACCCTATTAAGAATATAAAATGTTAAGGAGTGGAGATCTGAACAGTTTTCAAAATATTTAACAATTAATGATATTAATCGGGTAGGAATTTTCCCAACGGACAAAACACCATTTACACACACACACAGCCATCACATAAGGACAAAACCTTCGACGCATTAAAAAGGTTGTGCCATTAACTTCAGAGTAAAAGTTTTGGACTGGACATGTTCTCAAAATCATTTACTTGACGTTCGCTGTTCACAAACTCTAGCCATCTTAAGTTACAAACACATTCACATACTCATATTATCTCCAATTACTTACAACATAATTCACATTCTCATTTCATCTCCAGTTCGCAACAACATCATTCACATACTCATGGTATCTCCAATTACAACAACAGACAATAAGTCATATTATCTCTAGTTACTTTCAACATCATTCATATACTCATGTTATGTCCAGTTACTTACAAAATATTCACATACTCATGTTATGTTCAGTTACTTACAACACATTCACATACTCATGTTATGTCCAGTTACTTACAACATATTCACATACTCATGTTATGTTCAGTTACTTACAACATATTCACATACTCATTTTATGTCCAGTAACTGACAACATCATTCACATACTCATGTTATGTTCAGTTACTTACAACATCATTCACATACTCATGTTATGTTCAGTTACTTGAAACATCATTCACATATTCATGTTATGTTCAGTTACCTGCAACACCATTCCCATACTCATGTTATATCCAGTTACTTACAACATCATTCACATACTCATGTTATGTTCAGTTACTTACAACACCATTCCCATACTCATGCTTTCTCCGGTTACTTACAACATCATTCGCATACTCACAGTACCTCCAGTTACTTGCAACATCATTCACATACTCATATTATCTCCAGTTACTTGCAACATCATTCACATACATATATTATCTCCGGTTACTTACAACATCATTCACATACTCATAGTATCTCCAGTTACTTGCAACATCATTCACATACTCATATTATCTCCAGTTACTTGCAACATCATCCACATACTCATATTATCTACAGTTACTTGCAACATCATCCACATACTCATTTTACCTCCAGATACTTATAAATTCATTCACATACTCATGCTATCTCCAGTAAGTTACAATATCATTCACTTTAATAGGAAACATTTAAACATTCATAGGTTCGGAAGTATTGCGATAACACAGTTTGAAAGGTGCCCTAAACCATTATTCATGACGTGATTGCCAATAATTGAGCATTTCTCATTAATACGAATAACTCGCTATAAATCAATTTATATCTTACGTGGTGATCCTACTAGGTTACAATCTGTTAAAACATACATTCCGCTATTCTGTAAAACACATCAATCAAATTAATATAATTATGTTAAGTCTCTTTATTGGTGAAAATCAGTCTTTCAAACTGTATATCTTACTCAATGTGGTCATAACATTCGGTAAAAATGTATAAGAATAAACAATGACAATTTTTATTCAGTTGTGGACATGTAAAAAAAAACATTTTTAATGCAAGCAGTAGTAATGATAGTTGTAATAAATATATTTAATAATAGAACGGAATCGCATGTATTTGTTTTGTTAAAACACGTGTGTTTGTTTACATCAACACGTGTTTCAGAATACCTGTAAAGTTTACAATGGTTTTCCTTTGAATGAAATTTGTCGTATTGCAGGAATAATTCCCCGAATTATACAGGTTTTCTATGTATCGTATGATTTTGCTTGTGTTTCTCGTGCTTGCCGTTTCATATAAATTAACTGTAATTTATAATGTTATTATTCGAAGTTCTGCCTTACTCGAAGTAGCATACTCCTTAAAACTGACTTGTATGTATTAAAAAAACCCTCATCTAGACAGTCTATTGTTTTTATGTGGAAAGTAATGGTTATACATAATGATTTATATCGACTTTGTATTTCTTGTTTTGTAGATTGATGTATATTTGTACGTTTTGACTGGATGGCTGTGATTGACCCTGTTTATACATGTCTGTTTTAATAACACTAGTAATGGCTGAGAATGAGCCCAGGGCCGTAACTACTGATGAGGCAGACGAGGCAATTGTCTCGTCTGAATTTATGGCAAAAAAACAATTAATTAGAAAAAAAAAAGAAAATAGAGAAAGCTAGGCATGCAGGGGTAGAAAAAATCCTTGCATTTTCATATTAAAAATTAAGTAATGCATACTTCGAATAGTAATTAATGTTGACGTGCAGCTTCTGTACTACGTTAGGTATCGAACTCTCTGCCTGATTACCATCGCCAGTAAACCGGCATTTGGTTCTGCAATTATTTATTTCCAGCGAAAATGATAATGGATTTTTTTTTCCCACATTATCAGTGCGCAAAGTAAATCATAATTCAAATAATTCGAATTCTTCAACTTGCTAGGTCAATATTATTAAAGAAGCATTCACAGCTCACGCAGGAGTATCAAAACACCCCACAATTTGTGTGCATTTCTCTTTCAAATAAAATGAAGATTTGAGGCATTTGCAAATGTTTTGCTACAAACCTGGCTGCTATTCGAAAACAAAACGTGTATTTCGGATGGATGGAGAATTTGTTTAGTTTAACGCCAAGTGGGCTTTATTTCGGCTATATAATAGTGAGCAGGTTATGTGACCATTCCATTCGAATGTTAAATGGACAGGACAAACCCCTTGGCAGACTGACGATGAAGCGTTGACCACCCACATTTGTCCCGCTTTTTCTAATATCAAATATGTACCCTACTGTAAATGTATCTGTCACTCGGCTCTGATAGCCTTATGCAGTTCTTCATACGGTAAATATGAAACAAAAACGGTAAATATGATACAAAAACGGATGTAACAAGATATATTTCGACCCCTAATATTACAATTTTCGGACGGGGGGCTTCGCCTCCCTGATCCCCCATTACCTGGGGGCCTCAGTCGGCGGCCTCAAAACCCCTGCCTCGTCTGTTTCCGAGGCCTAGTTACGGCCCTGGAGCCGTAATGCGTTTGAGAAGTATTTGAGAAGTTTTTATTATACATTGGATAATAAAAGTATGATACTCTCACAAGGAGAGCTCATTTGTGATACATGTGTTTCATTGTATAAATAATTTATGTTCGTTTATGTCTGGCGAACTGGAACATAATGGTTGTAAGCGTAGTAGTCTGTTAAAAACACTTAAAGTTTTCTTATTGTTACAGATCGTTGTCGTGGAATAGAATAAAATTGAGAATGGAAATGCGGAATGTGTCAAAGAGACAACAACCCGACCATAGAACAGACAACAGCAGAAGGTCACCAACAGGTCTTCAATGCAGCGAGAAATTCCCGCACCCGGAGGCGTCCTTCAGCTGGCCCCTAAACAAATATATATACTAGTTCAGTGATAATGAACGCCATACTAAACTCCAAATTGTACACAAGAAACTAAAATTAAAAATAATACAAGACTAACAAAGGCTACAGGCTCCTGACTTGGGACAGGCGCAAAAATTCGGCGGGGTTAAACATGTTTATGAGATCTCAACCCTCCCCCTATACCTCTAGCCAATGTAGAAAAGTAAACGCATAACAATACGCACATTAAAATTCAGTTCAAGAGAAGTCCGAGTCTGATGTCAGAAGATGTAACCAAAGAAAATAAACAAAATGACAATAATACATAAATAACAACAGACTACTAGCAGTTAACTGACATGCCAGCTCCAGACTTCAATTAAACTGATTGAAAGATTATGTCTTCATCAAGTTTATTTATAAATTTAGGTCCAAATGGAAGAAAATATTCAATAATATAATTTCTTCTTAAAGAAATATTGCAGTATTTGTTACTGACGGGATAAAGGGTTTAGAAATTTTGGGAACAGATATTTCTAGCAATGTTTATGGTAAAGTTTCTAAAGGAAATTCTGTTTGGATGAACAAATATACGTCCAAATGTTGACCTTAAACATGTCTTTCTCTTGTCTATATACCAGCTTTGATTATTTGGTATTTAATTACTACAAATTTTCACTTCTTCGTACTATGAACATCAAAATTATTTCATTTTTCCTTAGATGCTATTCTTGGACCTGTACAGGAAGTTTTATCTAGCACTAATTGTATATTTTTATTGTTGATATTCAACCCATATGTACCAAGTGTTAGATTAGTTTAATTGATATTAAAGAAATTTCTTGGTATTCCTAAACGGAAGATTTTATACACACAGAAGAAGAAGTATACATAACAACTAAATTATTTTCATTTACCTGTGTATAATATGATGCAGGTTTCTTCAAAAGTGATGATTTTCTATAAATTGTTTGAAATTTCACAGTGATAACATACTCTAACTTTGTTTAAACCTGTTTATTTACTTTTGACTTTAATTATTTATCCCTTGTAATTTTTTATTAACTGTGTATTTGCATTCAGGTGTCACAGGTCAAATTTATTCGTTCATTGTGTGTTAATTTACGTTTTTTGATTGAGTTAAGCCTTCCAATTGATATTTTATAGTGTGTTTTTCTATGTTGTGATGTTATACTATTGTTTCAGAAAAGGGAGAAGGTTTGGTACCATTAAAACGTTTAATCCCGCTGCAAATGTTTGCACCTGTCCTAAGTCAGGAATCTGATTACAGTAGTTGTCGTCTGTTTATGTAGTTCATACGTGTTTCTCGTTTCTCGTTTTTATATAGATTAGACCGTTGGTTTTTCCGTTTGAATGGTTTTACACTAGTAATTTTTTGGGGCCCTTTATAGCTTGCTGTTCGGTGTGAGCCAATGCTCCGTGTTGAAGGCCGTACCTTGACCTATAATGGTTTACTTTTATAAATTGTAACTTGGATGGAGAGTTGTCTCATTGGAACTCATACCACATCTTCCTATATCTACTTTCAGTTTTTATTCTTGTTATTTCACTCATTGACGTATCTCCTAAATCTCCTTTGATACAAATAACAATCAATCCATCAAGCATTTAACTCATGTATGGTTATTTAAATATTGTAATACATACAGAAAACACTGCATTTGAATCTCGTCCATTATCTGGTATTGTTGTCAGGGTTTCCCAATTACTGAGCGATGGCGAGTAGGTATAATCATACTCCTTTAATTCCGACAGCACCTATAAACAAATAACAGTGTGTTGAAATGCCATTCATACAAAAATTAAACAATATTATTTCACAGATTTATAATGTTTTGTGGTTTTTCAAGCGAAATGGTTCAGAAGGAAATCTGTCTAACCAAATCACTTTTAGATGGAACATAAATATTCCATGAACTTCATTTAGGACATATAAAGCTCCAGCTTGACCATATTCAGTCAGAATGAATACTTTTATATGAAAAAACTATATTACCACTTGAGCTTTATTTTTCATTAAGGTAAACATGTTCAAAAGTGCAGTTTTAAAATCAACCGTAGGTTCTTCACATTTTATTCTAAGAAAACGCCTTTGTTTTCATTAGATAGAAATTGTCATAATACTCTGAGACAATGTTTGACGGGTAGAGCTATAAAATAAAGGAGTAAGCAATGAATAATACATACGTCTGCTGCAGTAATGTCGTTCGCTGATCTCAATAATAAAATACTTTTGTCAACCGCAAGAACGTTTACTAACGACCCAGGGTCTGCAGTAACACGTAGAACAACTCGATCAGCAGGTTCAGCCATGTTCTTGTCAAACTTTAACGTAACCTGTTTGATAATTAAACGCAAAAAAATATTACAACTTTTTTCAAATTGAATATTTCTTGTCCTAATTCCTTAAAGTCTGTAATTACAAATTGCGTAAAACGTCACTGGTATTGACTGAAACCTTTAAATATGTCTCTGGGAGTAGAATGATAGTATATAAATGTTTTCAAACGAAATACTTGAACTTTGACAGTATCAAATTTTAATTAAGAGAACATTATTTGAAAGCACTCTTACATTTAAAAAATTTACCTTGTTTTTTAATACGTCCTGTACGGAAAATGTAACGGCATCTGCAACTATTTCGCCGTCTGCTCTGACGTAATACACGATCATCTTAGCCGTCGGTGTCATATCATATGTTATAGAAACCTTGTGTTTTCTTGAATACCTCATCTTCATTTTGAAAAGTCCACTGTCCACAAGAGATCCTTTTGCAAATATCTGCATTAAAAAAGAAAAATCGTTTACATAAATATCTGCTTAAATCTACAGTAAGGTCGTCAGTGTTTCTCTTTTGTAGTATCTTACGTTTAGTGTGTATTATTGTTAATTTCAGTACAAGCTATATACGTTTTATCTATATTTTGTCTAGAGCTTTAAATATGATTAAGCCACAACTTTCTATTGTTGAAAACCGGATATTACATCTAGATGTCTTATTTATTTTGTTGTTTTTAAGGCTTCTTCTTCTAAGTATAACTAATACATCTTCCGTTAAAACAACAAATTAATTAAAAGATAAAAAAAAACAAACAAAGAGATACAAAAGTACAGCCACTGTTCATCCAAAAAAAAATCGCTTAGTATTCTGCGTTGAGCATCTTATTTATGGGCAGTTTAAAGTCAGCGTTCAGTGTAAATTTGTTTCAATAAAAGGTACATTAACAGATCTTTAGATAATGCATTAACCCTTACTCTTACCTGGTAATTACAATAATGTATTCTCTCTGTAACTTGTATAACAATATGTAGATTACTTCCAGGCTGAAAAAAAGATGGTCTTTCGAAATCAATTTTCTGAATAATTGATAAGGAGCTACTTCTGGTTTACTCGAAGTTACTATTAGCGTCCAATCATAGATTTCTACATACTGATTTAATCAATATAAAAATACGTGGTATGATTGGCAATGAGACAACTCTCCACAAGAGACCAAATGACACAGAAATTAACAACAATATATGATTTCTCATACTTTTGTCTGAAATAAGGGAGATAATTTGCTACATCCGGTTCAGAAAATATCACGTCCGGCCTCATATCATTATTCACGCTGATTCCAAAAACATATGGTGTCTATATACTTTTGCCTGAAATAAGGGAGATAATTGCCAAGTTCCGGTTTAGAAAATGTCACTTCCGGTCTCGTATAATAGCGTTATTCACTGATTTAAAAAAAAAATGGTTTCTATATACTTTTGTCTGTAATTAGTGAGATAATAAGCCACTCCCGGTTTATTGAAGGTCACTTCCGGTCTCAAATAATAGGTTTATATGTTTATTCAAAAAATATATGGTTTCTATGTACTTTTCAATGAAAGAAGTGCATATATGGCTACTTTCGATTAACTCCGGGTCACTTCCGGTTGACATTTTTCAAGGTCATATGTCATCCAACATTTTGCAAACGACCCTATGGCTTTGTTATGTACCAAGTTGAAGTAATAATCAATTAACCTTAAATTAAAACATTTCAGGGGCAATAACTCCTAAAAGGTTTCATTGGATTGTTTCAGACTAAGTGTATCATATCTTCATCACAATAAAGCAAACATTTTCCACTAGTTCTTTTATATATATCTTCAATAGTGTCAGAGAAGATCATAAAAGAAGAAAAATTCATAATTGAGAACATGACCTTGACCTATGACCGCAAATTCATTTTTGTGAAGCAAGGACCTCCAATATAATACTTTGAGTCTCTATCACTTACCATTCATGTGATATATTGCCGTATTGCTTCGGTCAAAATCAAGACAAAAAATCCTGAGGATATAACGAGCAATTAGGTAAAATAAGTTTGTCGATTTCCTTTACGGTTACCTAGGAGATGCAACCACAAGGAAGACAGTGTTTGGGGAGATAACTCTTACAAAGAAAATTTTTTGGTTAAGCAGGGTCATTTTCAAAGGCGCCTAAACTGTGCGATATCATATACCAAATATCTAAGCAACATCTTGCGAAACAAAATTTACACGCAAAAATAAAAGTGGCGAAAGAAGAAAAAAAAACAATAGTTAAAAACCAATTGTTCAGAGAACCATTGAAGGTCTTTCCACCCGAAACAATATGTTTTGAGGTTTAAATTGTCATTTTCAGTGTCAAATGATAGCTTACTTGACACTGATTCCGAAAATATATGGTTATATATACTTTTACATCAAATAGTTAAAAAAAATAGCTACTTTCGGTTTACACAAGTTCACTTCGGGTTGGCATAATCAAGTATAAATATCAAGTTAAAGCAAAGGTCAAAGTCTAGAATGTCAAATTTACCTATGACCTTGACCTCAATTTCAAGGTTATCAAGCAAGGACCTCATAGCAATAGACCTTAGGTCTCTATTATGTATTGTTAATAAGTTATTTTACCATACATCTTATTTTTAACATTCCAGGGGAGAAAACTCCTAGTAAATGTTACCGCACCGCTTCGAATAAAAAATTTCCTATTACGACAGATCACAACTAACAATTAAGTGTAAATCTTTTGTCGATATATATTACAGCTTCTTAGTAGCATGGACCTCAAATCAGAAGACCCTAGGTCTCTATCACTAATCATAATAACAACTTTAAGGAAGCTCTTATTCATAAAAATATGCAAATAAAAATTCAAACTGAGAATTATGTATTAAAAAATATAAGTATTCTGTGAAAGGAAATTTAGAAGCGTTGAATCTATTTAAACGCATAAACACAGACAGGGGGAAAAGAGAAAAAAAGTTACCAAAGAGACATTCAAACTCGAAAATAAACTGACAACGCCACGGCTATAAAAGAAAACGACAAACAATCAAACAATCAAACAACAGCACACAAAACACAACTTAGAAAACTAAAGACTAAGCAACTCGAACCCCATCAAAAACTAGGGGTATTCTCAGATGTTCCGGAAGGGTAAGCAGATCCTGCTCCACATGATCAACCGGTCGTGTTGCTCATGTAAGTACAAACCCGGTGATAAGTCGAATTCTAATACTCCCGCATATAAAGTTAACACTAAATTTATAAAAAGAACAGAGTTCCAATGTCCCCCGCGTTGCACATATTTTATCTATACAAGGGCAATACCTAAACAAACCTTGTTTTTTTCTTTACAAATAACCTAGAGAAATGAAGGCTTGAGAGCAAATACAATGCAATTTCCAATATAATTGATATTTCCAAGGGGCATAACTCCTTTAAAATATTTGATCGGCACTCATTTTCGAACTTGTCCGAGACATTGCTGATATAAACCTATAATACAAGTTTCATAAAAATCAGGTAAGAATTGTACACATGAGAGCGCTAACAATGAAATTGTCCATATAATTAATATTTCCAAGGGTCATAACTCTTTTAAGAATAATTGATCGACACTGATTTTCGAACTTGTCCGAGACATTGCTGATATAAACCTATGATATGTTTCATAAAAATCTGGCAAGAATTGTACACGTGAGAGCGCTGGGACAATCAAGTGATATTTTCATTTCGTACAGTGACGCATGCATTGCAGGAGTTGCTTAACCTGCCGATTCAGCTGTTTTATTATAATAAAGTCAAGATTATATGTCTTCTTATAACTTAACTGACTCCTGCATACTTTTACCACGTGACATTTATCAACGAACCTGAACAGTACCTCCACTTGTTGTTTTTATCTGTAGATAGTTATTACTCGGTGAAGTAGCCTTTGAGACATACTTTGTTGTCAGATATTTCTTTTTGTATACAACCTAAAAGTATATGGTTAAATGATGGAATTATATAACAATTTAAAACCTGTTTTTAATTATGCTTCACTTCTACCTTTTTCGTCATATACCTATAATTATCTCGCATGTATTATTTGTTTTTATGTCAGTGTTGTTCACACTTGTATGACTTTGTAATTTAGTATATGCCTTTCCAGATCAACTACTTTCCTAGCTTGTATCAAATAAATTTAATATCATTCTAGCATTTACAAGAAGATATGCTACTGACAAATCATCATCATCATCATCATCATCATCATCATCATCATCATCATCATCATCATCATCATCATCATCATCATCATCATCATCATCATCATCATCATCATCATCATCATCATCATCATTATTCCAAATCTAGCGCTGGATGTCCTCAATTTAGGAAAAAAATTATGATTAAGTTAAAGGTTTTTATCATGGTTAGTAAGTCGTCATATCGAGGAGCGTTTAATACAGTGATTTTGTCATAATTTGGTTAAGTTGGTCATGGTTTAGTTAGGTTACTTCCCAGAACGATTGCCTCAGGTCTTCTCAAATGAGCAAATAAAAAGCTAATAAGATGTTTGAATCTATATTGTAAGTCAAACTATCTACATTGAAATTGTTGTTTTTAGAAATAAACGCAGGATAACCAAAAAATCGAAATTGATATGGTTTGGTTAAGCAATTGACATGGTTCAGTTAAGTGTCTAGAAACTCGTTTTGGTTTTGATCACGTTTGTCATGGTTTGGATCCAAAAGTTGCTTCTGTTTAACCTAAAATCTTTTCTCCGTATGTCCATTATGGGGATATCGTGAGCGGCAACAATAGTCAAATGGTTAGAGACGTCTACCTAATGTTGCAAAACGAAGCAGCTAGCAAAAAAATTATTTTTGTTTTACATTTTTTCTAGCAACTGTACGTACAGCTGTTGTTTTTTTTTTAACTAGATTATGTTTATGATGAATAAAAGGAGATGTGGGGGTGTTATACGCCCATGATACAGTAACCCAACTGCAAAACTAACCAAACGATATCGAGAGGGCACCATACAGTCTACAACCCTCCACGGGACATAATGTTAACATGGACAACAGCTAAAACTTATTTTTTTTGGTAAACTAAATGAAATTACTTTGAAAATTACTTACAAAGTTCCGAATTTAAATATATGAAAGATCACAATTTCGAATTACAATTAGGTCTTTATAATGTTCATATTTATCAGTTATTATAGCGAATGAATAAAAATGATTATGTTTTTGTCATATTGTATAACATGCATTGTGTAGTAATAAGAAAATAGAAATATTAGCTTTTTGATACAAATTTTAATGTACTTACATATTAGCTATAGACAAAGATACTTACCAGCTTTAATTTGTGTTTAGAAGTTCCTTTAGCAAAAATTCCGATTGTTTATATTGTGTCATTGTTTGTCATTTTAATAAAACACTTAACACAAGCATGTCCAACTTAAGCAAACTATGACAAAATCACTGTACTAAACGCTCATCGATATGACGACGTTACTACCCGTGTTTATGCATTTAATAAAGTTATTACTCTACTGAACCATTAGTGTCTTATTAGTTAATTGTTTAGTTTGTTTATTGTGCTATTAATAGTTACATTGTATTATCTGTATCATCATTTTGTGAAAGCCATTCATATAAACAAGTGAACGAAAATGACAGCATTCAACATTTTTATTGTATTGTCTTGTCATAAGCTTATTAAAGGGGATTTAGCTACGATTTAGACAAAAATTCTAAATACGAGTCTTTTTGTTTTTGTTTTGAGTATTAATAAAAGCGGAACTTTGAAATAATATTTCGTTTTAAGCAGTCAGTTTTGGCACAAATTTGTCAAAATAAGATAAAAAAAAACATCGCAGATGTATTATTAACTTGCAAATCAATTATATAATCTCTTTGAATCCATATTCATGTGATCTTCAATTCAACACCTTAGCTGGAGATGGGTTGCGCATGTACTAGGCATGTTCGGCTATTTAAAGAAAACGAATGTCAACATTGAAAGTGAAACAAGCGGGAACCATTCGGTTGACTGATTCGATCCACACAAAAAAAATCAGTCTTGTACGGGTAAAAACGATCATTAAAATATTTCATGAAATCAAACAGACCTAGAAAAATCTAATCGCACGTGCTTGCTATCTATTTATATTCATCTTTATGTTTATGACCGTCGGCAGTCTTCGGAGGTCATCTCGATGATTAATTAGATGGCGTCTAGTAAAATGCACGCAAAATGCTGATTCATATTATCGTGTCCATGCATTGTTAATTGGTTATTTTAGACGTTTCAGTATGTTATTGATCAAATATGAGAATTTTAGTTAATGAACATGAATTTGACATATAATGCCCCTTTAATCACAGTATACTGTTTCAAACACAACATTTTTAATGATTTTATATTGTATTGAGTGAATTGAACATTATTTAATATAGAGACACATTTTATTTCATTATGAATAGAAAGCTCATATAATTATACTTGCATAAATTCTGCCACGATTTGCAATAACTGGAAAAGAAACCTGCTGTATAACAACTCCATTCTTCTTGATTGAAACATCTTTATTGAAAAAAACTTTTCTTTCCGTCTTAGTTCTTTTATTCACTTTGATTGAGTATTCATAACTTATGATTAGTTTTGCTTTTTCCTTGGACTGTCTTATCCGGCTGCCGTCAGCATTTCCTATCTTGACCTACATTTATAATGAATGAATGAATGTAAAATATTCCTGTTTGGCAATTTTTTTATATTTGATATACATTTTTTTCGACTAGAGACTGTTAATAGCCTGCGTCGTTCATTTGAATCTATGGTGCAAAGCTTGAGTGATTTAGCATATCAGAGACACAATTTGTCGTCGTTGTATGTGAAAGAATACTGCTAGTTCAGAATTAGCTCAAGCTTTGCAGTAGGAATGATAAAGACTACCACAACACAAAAGTCAACGTTTGATATATGGAATGAAAAGACGGTTAGCATCGGTGGTTCGTGTGAACAGTGGTTACACTCGGCATTCGACGTTGTCGTGTTGTTTTGGAAAACAAGGATTTGCGCCCTTGAACTTTTCTACATGTAAGCATCCGAAGTTAAACATTGTCCAGTTTTAGGACCCAAGCCATTCTCTTGTTTGTCAAAAATGTAGTTAATGGAATTCGTTATTTTTCTTCAACCTTTTTAATTTATTTATTCCTGTGGTCTTGCCAATAAAAAAATTACCTAATGTATCCACTTTTGGGGCCATAGATATTTTTATATGTTTTTCGACTAGAGACTGTTAAGAGCCTGCGTCGTTCATTTGAATCTATGGTGCAAAGCTTGAGTGATTGAGCATATCAGAGACACAATTTGTCGTCGTTGTATGTGAGAGAGTACTGCTAGTTCTGAATTAGCTCAAGCTTTGCAGTAGGAATGACAAAGACTACCACAACACAAAAGTCAACGTTTGATATGTTATATAGATACAATGGATAAGCGTGGATTCTTGAAAAAGAAACCATGAGCCCGAAGGGCGAATAGTTTGTTTTTCATGAATCTACGCTTATCCATTGTATCTATAACTTAAACTATTGTGTTAATTTCTTTTCAAAATTAAAGCCTTTTCTTAATTAGAAGGTATTATAAGTGAGTTTAAATAACCATGTTATCGTGTCCAACGATGCATTGATAAATCTCAGATCACAATTAATTGGTTAACAAAATACAAATATAACACTTCTACCTTTAAAGAAATTTATATTACCAGGCATTTGAATATTATCTGTTTATACAAAATATGACATATTCGAAATTATTTCTAATAAAATTGAAAATGGAAATGGGGAACGTGTCAAAGAGACAACAACCCGACCAAAAAGCATATATAAAGTATATATAATAAGTATGTTATCGAAATTTTTCTAGCACTCTAGGCACATCACGATTTTCTCGCATAGGAATTTGCGAACAAACCTTTGTAAAAGTATGTAGTAAAACAGATGACATCATACTATATTTATAAAACAAAAATTGACAAATAGAATGTAATCATTTTTGTTTCAAACATGTGAAATAGCCAATAATAATAAAAAAAACCCGGTAAAACTCGCTATTATTACAAAAACATCCACTATAACATGCAAAATTAGGAAAAAAAACCAGGATCACTTAAGAATTGGAACAACAGAGAGAATACAGGGATTCGAACCTAAACCGACAAATCCCTATCTTTAACTCATTGATTTTAACCATGCTAACCTCGCGGCTACCAACTCATACTATACGACTGCCTATTGTGTCTATATAAAGGTACAAGCCCTGTGTGTCCGATGAACCGATGTATATCAGATGTTCATTTAAATATATAACATAGACATCTATAGTGTAACACATTGGTAGCCGAGAGGTTTCGTCGATGTGTTGATGTCAGTCACACATAACAGATTTCAAGGAAGGGTTCGATTCCCAGTGAAGGCATATAAAAATTACAAAAAATAAAAGTAAGTTTTTAAATTATTTCCATTAGTGAACAGAAATCAGTAAATTAGCCAATTCAAACTTAATGAAATTAGGCACACAAAGGAAACAAGTGAATATAATTTGGTGAGTCAATTTCAGCGGCAGATTTAGGAAGCGTTGATTCTAGAAAAAGAATCCACGGTAAATGAATAGGCTGACGTCACCACATTGGTTTAAATGGAATGAAAAGACGGTTAGCATCGGTGGTTCGTGTGAACAGTGGTTACACTCGGCATTCGACGTTGTCGTGTTGTTTTGGAAAACAAGGATTTGCGCCCTTGAACTTTTCTACATGTAAGCATCCGAAGTTAAACATTGTCCAGTTTTAGGACCCAAGCCATTCTCTTGTTTGTCAAAAATGTAGTTAATTGAATACGTTATTTTCTTCAACCTTTTTAATTTATTTATTCCTGTGGTCTTGTCAATAAAAAAAATTACCTTATGTATCCACTTTTGGGGCAATACAAAATTTTATATATTATTATATTTTGATTTGTGAGAAAAATCAAGGAAGTGCGATACTTTATTTTTATATTATGGTTTTCAAGATATAAGACAATGAGTGCATTTTACCCGTCTGTTCTTTTTTTTTTTGGTCGAGTTGTCCATGTTTGTTGATTGATTGAAATAAGAAAAATTGTACTAGATACCCTAAGGATCATTCACCTTAAGTTTTGGTTGAAAAGGATTGAGTATTTTCTGAGTAGAAAACCTTTGAAAAAGTATATCACGGACACAAAAATTATTCAAAAATCGTCGTTTAAAGCTATAACTCCTTAAGGAGTAATCTAATTGACTCGGTTGTTTCTACCTGTCTGATATAGATTTAAAGATAATAGAAAAAACAGGGATATTAGCAAAAATCGTCATTTAAGGAAAATAATTCCTTAATGAGTCATCTGATAATTTTATTGAATAAGGCGATGCATTTTACCCATGTAATCTATTTTATACATGGTGACTGTGTTTGTTAACTGACAGGATGAAAATACAAACTTTCTTTTAGATACCCTAGGGATCATCCACCCTAAGTTTGGTTAAAATTGGTCAGCTTGTATCAGAGGAGAATTGAGAAGATCTACTTAAAAGTTTACGATGACAATGACGACAACTGACGCCAAGTGATTGCAATAGCTCACATGACCTTATAGCCAGATGAGTTAAAGATTTAATACCGTACACATATGATGTAGTCGCCTGTAAAGTTTACGATCGTCGAATCACCGATGGACTACGGCATTTCTTCAATATAGTACTGAAATTCCTCAAATTCGGAACTATTTTTTTTAATGTGGTATATTTCCAACTATTTTTGGATTACAGTTAAGATATTTAGTTAAAAAACAAACAATTCCTAAAATCCGGAGATCTGTGGTGTGTTACTTCGGGCGACTCGATATTTGCTAGTATAAATTCTAAAGGACTAATCCTCTTGAAATTACAGTTCAAGAATGATATACATACGAGGAATAAAATTACAGATTCTTGCATCTGTTATAACGATATGATAATAATCGTCATGAAAAAAGTCTGTTCCATGCAAAATATGAAGAAAAATTTGCAAGTTAATTTTTAACTTCCTCTTGCACGAGTAGACAACCATATGATTAACTTTTACTTTTTGTCTTTATTCAACTTACTATAATGGTATATGATAATCCAGGTTTGAAAGTTGGAGGGATACCAGGAGAAAATGTTGCCTTCCATGGATTGGTTTGGAATTGGAAATCTTCAGTATCGTTAGCCTCTTTTCCAGTTACTGTCTCGTTTACTGTGGCAAATATTCTGAAATATTCTCCAAACTGAGGATATAAATCCCATGTAGAAATCCTTATGTCGACCTTTCCATGTATCTGTCAAAAGGAATATTCAGCCATTTTTAACCCAATTGGAGGAACGATTTTGCAAAAAAAGATATGTTAATATCTTCAGATCAATTTTTTTAACCCCAATCAATGTATTCACAAACGTGAATTATAAAAGTTTTGAAATTTTACCTTGATATTTCGTTCAAAATAGATATATAATCTTTTTTGAAATTTTACTTTGGTATTTCGTTCAAAATAATCTTTTGTGAAATGTTATATCTTGTTATTATTTCGTCCCAGCAGACATCTTTTGTGAAATGTTACCCGATATTTCGTTCCAGGTAGATATTTTTTGTAATCTGTTACCTTGATATATCGCTCCTGATAGTGATAGATATCTTTTGTAAACTGTTACCTTGGTATTTCGATCCAGATAGATATTTTTGTGAAATGTTACCGTAGTATTTCGTTCGAGATAGATATTTTTGGTGAAATGTTACCTTGGTATTTCGTTCCAGAGAGACTACTTTTGTGAAATGTTACCTTGATATATCGTTCCAGATAAATATCTTTTGTGAAATGTTACCTTGGTATTTCGTTCCAGATAGATATATTTTGTAAACTGTTACCTTGATATATCGTTCCTCATAGATATCTTTTGTAAACTGTTACCTTAGTATATCGTTCCTGATAGATATCTTTTGCAAACTGTTACCTTGGTATTTCGATCCAGATAGATATTTTTTGTGAAATGTTACCTTGGTAGTTTTATCGAGATAGACATCTTTTGTGAAATTTTACCTTGGTATTTCGTTTCTCAAAGACTACTTTTGTGAAATGTTACCTTGATATATAGATCCAGATAGGTATCTTTTGTGAAATGTTACCTTGGTATTTCGTTCGAGATCGATGTCTTTTGTGAAATGTTACCTTGGTATTTCGTTCCAGATAGATAACTTTTGTGAAATACTACCTTGGTATTTCGTTCCAGATAGATATCTTTTGTGAAATGTTACCTTGGTATTTCGTTCAAGATAGAGTATCTTTTGTGAAATGTTACATTGATATTTTGTTCCAGATGGATATCTTTTGTGGAAAGTTACCTTGATATTTCGTTCCAGATAGATATCTTGTACCCAGCTACTAGTGCTTTTGATTTTTATAACAGCGATACCTTCAACAGGTTTTCCAAACGTGTATCTGTAAAGATACATTATGATTTTGATAGAATGCACAATTCGGTTCACACCTCCTAACACAGTCAAACATAATATGTGTGCTTAATTATAGTGCAGAAAATACCATACTATAAATAACTTGAATGTTAATCTAAATTCAAAAATCACATATAAAAGTAAAATGTTCCGTTTTCTACTATATTCGATACACATAGGTTTACTTTGGGGAATACTCAAAACAAAAAGTTGGTACAGTTCAAGGACACATTAAGAGTAACATGAATATAACATGAAAGACAAAAATAAACAAATATCTTATAGTTGTTTTTACCTTCTATTTTATGAGGCTAATAGGGTTCGGTTCTTCAGTTTATTTTTTATATTATTTTTCTGTTTGAGTTCTACCTCTGAATTTTTACAAATAGTGTGAATGAGTGTTTTAAATAACTACATAAAAGGGTGAAAAAACGTCTTTATAGATCAACGTGCATTGCATTAAGTTTATATTCTATCGATTTTTTAAATAATTTCAAATAAAAGAATTATAACTGAAACGTCTAATTTCAAATACACCTTTTTGGAACTACAAAGATAGCATAAGTATAAGCTAGACAAGCACAAATAGTAATGAAGGGTATACTGAAATATTAATGGCTTGACGGCCAACAACCGAAAGCATTTGTATGAAAATCTCACTATTTATTCACTACTGTATATCGTTCAGAAGGCTTCACTTGTTATTCATGCTTTGTATAAGAAACCGCAAAGAATTAACCTTTAAGTACATTATTAGCAATTGTCTGCAGATAAAAAAGTACTGCTAAGTATCGTAAATGAACTATCTTGTTTTAAGTTATATGGATATATGTTTGAAGATGTTTCTGTTACATTAAGATGAGGAAAATTAATAAAAGTGCCTTTCTATTTATTTATATATTTTTTATTTTCAAAATGTGTCATGAATAGTGTCGCATGTTGAATCAATCAAATATACCCGTTTTCCTAAATATTAATATTTTTTTAAAACGTAAAATAACAAAAATACCGAACTCCAAGGAAAATTCAAAACGGAAAGTCCCTTATCAAATGGCAAAACCAAACGCGTAAACACAGCTAACCAATAGAAAACAACTGTCATATTCCTGACTTGGTACAGGCATTTTCTTGTGTAGAAAATGGTGGATTGAACCTGGTTTTATACCTAGCTAAACATCTCACTTGTATGACAGTCGCATACATTTCCATTAAATTGACAACAATATGTGAACGAAAAAAACAAACATAATAGGAAAAATGTCAAAAATAAGGCTACAGCAGTTAACATTGTGTTATAATCTTAATCACTATAAAAACAAACAAATATGTCAACAAAGAAAAACAAAATGGCAGATAGACAAACCACAAGAGCAAAAATGAAAGACAAGAATACAAAAAATGACCATAGCACAATAACACAACGGCGGGATGTATAAGTACCGAGCCACGCCAAAAGGATATTACCAAATATGGATTAAACAGTAAAGGTTAATAATTTACAAAGACAAATAAAAGAACACTATAACACGTAATTAAGATGATAAACAACGTCACCACCTAGAATGTATACATCAAGACCATCATGTATTATTTGTGAAGTTGATACGGAATATTTATCAACAAGGTCTTGGTATCTTTCGAGGAACTTTTTTTTAGAAAAAGGACAAAACGTTTTTTGACATAACCCTGGTTCATCAACTTTCAGCTCAGACACTGGTGACGTTTGAATCCTGAATAGCAGCTGCGAGCTCCTGAATACCGAATGAGTTGGGAAATGTATATCCCATATACAGGTGAAGTTGGTATATTGCTACTAAGGTGGGGAAAATTGATAATTTCAAAATTAAAATCGTCTCGTTTGTCATAGATTCTGGTACTGAAATGACCGCTTATGTCGAACTCCGACTCATATGAAAATTAGAAGAGGTCGGCAAGGAGAGGCGCACAGTTCGTTCCCATAGGAATGACGACAATTTGTTGAAAAAGTCTACCTACAAATTCAACAAATATCTTGTCAATAAGAAACTCTAGCATACTGATCACTTGTTCTTCTGGGTAGCATGTTTACTTTTTTTATCACTATTAACAGAATATGCCGTATGGTATCCCAAAGTAATAAATTTATGGCGTATGCTACCAATTTAATATTGAAAAGCATAGTGGATTATTTCTTTTTAGACGATTTTTTAATTTCACATGCACATGGGGAATGGTGGTATACAGGGTTGAAAAATCAAAAGTTTTGATAGATTTAATTTCAGAGAAAGATCGAGATTTAAAATTATCCAGAAGTTCTTAAGCGTTTTTCAGAATCTAAATATGGTTAATACCACTACGCGATTAAACAGTTTCAAAGTATTTCTGAAGACCCTCTTTCACTGCGGACAATCTAATGGACAATTCCTTTGTAGAACATGCAGATGAGCCGGCAATGTACTGTTGTTTGTACGGAATTTTGTGAAGCTTAGGTATCCAATACAAACAAGGTAAGTCCTCAGATTTGTTGTTCAATGTAATGTTCATTTAAGCCATGAAGGACTTATGATTCGCCAAAATCTCATCCTTGTCAACTGATATGTCTTTGTATGTGGGATTACTTGAGTGCGCATTTATTCCTGATTCTTTTATAAGACACTCTAACTAAGTAGTTATTATTATTTAGTGCTATTTTCGATTTATCCAAAATAAGCTTTAAAGAATATTTTTTCCTTACTTACATTGCTGTTACTCTTATGACGAAGTCATTGTCTTCCTTTATAGGTACATCAAGTAGTGAAACTTTTACTTCAAACTTTGGTAACTCTACAAGTTAAATAGAACATTAAGAATTGAAACCGATTGTTTTAACAACATATTACGCCGTGCATCAATCGAGCAATGGTCATTTATATATTCACTTATACTTTATGATACAACCAACTACAGGATTTAAAAAAACGTTTATATTTCATATTAAGATGTACGATTGTAGACAAAGAATCTATTTCTGGTTTGAGACGTTATTGGATCGGCCGCATTGTTTATTTTGCAGTTAATCTGATGACAGTCATTTTCAACTGATTGTTATAGTTTGTTCTTATGTTGTACGCCTTCAAACTATTTAACCCCGTCACATTCTGTATGTGCCTGTCAGGAGCCTGTAATTCAGTGGTTGTCGATTGTTGCTGTATATCATATTTATTTTTCGTCAATTATTTTGTACATAATTTAGGACGTTAGTTTTCTTGTTTGAATTGTTTTACATTGGTCATTTCGGGGCCTTTTATAGCTGACATGCGGTATAGGTTTTACTCATGGATGAAGGCCGTATGGTGACCTATAGTTGTTTATTTCTATGTCGTTTGATCTCTTGTGGAGAGTTGTCTTATTGGGATCATACCACATCTTCTTATTTCTATATATGCAGAAAACAGTTGTGCCGTCAATTTATCAAAAGGTTATTACATGTATCAATTTTTTTTATTTTTTTTTGGAAAGAAATTACCATATTCAGACTATATTTAATGTTTTACGTTTAGACCATAATACGTAACTTTTCCTGGGAACAAGAACAAAACGCGGGTAAACAGACGAAACTAAAACAATACTAGTCTGATGTACTGTTTGTTTGGATAGAAAGAATAATCTGGTTTTCAGTAATTACATTGCTGCTTTCAATCACCGTACCTACAAACTCCTTCTCCATTTTGTGAATATTTTGACGTTACAATTTTTCATCTTCTTTATAAAAATAAGCAGATGTGGTATGCTTGCCTATAAGACAACTGTCCGCCAGAGTCCAAATAATGTGGAAGTAAGCAACAATATATTACCATGCGGCTTTCTGCAGTGATTTAACTCATACCGCATAGTCAGCTATAAAATGCACCGACTTCACAAAATATGGATCACTTTAACGAAAAGACGGACGTTCTTATGTATGACTTGAGGCATTCTGACCGATTGTAGATTTAACAGAAGTCGTTTACTCTGTCTCTTAACAAAGTCGGTTTTTATATTCATTTTTATCTTCTTAACGGATTTATGTTATTTGTACATCGGTAAATTACTGTTGACTTTAATATGTCAAAACAATAATCGGAAAACAAATATGACAGACAGCAACCAACGACAACGACCAGTGCTCAGACAAATGGAATCGAATTAATCTATATTTTATTTTAAGTCATTGGTTTATAATAACTTAAAACAATATTTCCTGAAAAAAATATGTAATTATAAAGGATTAGAAATATGTTGATATGTTGATATGTTAAATAGTATTTGATATTGCTGTACATTTGTTTTTCAGTTATCTATAAGCCTATTATGTAACATACGAAAAGATGAAATGATCATTAATGAATTACATGATGATACTTTACATAAGTCTACATAAGAAATCATGATTTCTAAATGAAATATAGAACAGGAAATGGATAAAATATACAGAATTAAAAGTGATCGATGTTTTGTGATATATACAAGAAGGTCTGGAGCGAAATAGATTTGATGTGATAAAAGCCATTGGTTTGTCGTGCTTTATTTTTCTTAATAAATAGAAATACTAAGCTATATAGTTATTGTGGAGAAATGTAATCTTTAATGTCACGTTGATGTCTTCAATATATTAAAATTGACATTTGTGATATTAAATGGTCTTTCGGCAAATAGATCTGCGTCAATTTGAATATGAGGAACAACCTTACCCAAACAGAAATATAATTTACATTAACACATTTGTTTGAACCGTGGTTTTATTTCACATTTGACATTCGATCATGTTTAGAGTTAGGGTTAACGTAGAAAAGAGTAACTCAGTGGATGTTACCCGCTATGCAGGAATATTACCCTTCCGGAATATTTATGATGGATGAGAGAGGCATGTTCGTGATGTTCAATCTTTCGTTTTCTTTTCAGTGTTTTCTTATTATAGTTTGTATTTCATCTTTTGATTTTGAGGGTGTGCATAATTATACTTGTTTTATTAGACTTATGCAAAATGAAAATAACACACTTTACAAACGTAATGCGACCGAGGCAATTTTGATTATCGTCTTAGTATATTCTCTTTTTTGCATAGGACATCTTGTATAAAATATCGTTTCGGGTAAGAATGCTGATAATAATATATAATGATGACAAGAACATAAAGTGTTATTTCGCTTGTGTGTTTAGTACTTTAAATGCATACCGAAAACCTTACGAAAATATGAATCAAAAATGTAATAATTAATTTTTGGCAGAACAATGTCGAGCAAGCGTGTGTAGATGTAATATATTTAAAATACTTTTTTTTTTTATTTTGGAAGACATCATATAACTCGTTCAGCTATTTGATAACGTTGATTTCGTCAGTTTCAGTGGACTTTTGCCTTTTTGAACTTACCTTGGAGTTTGGTATGTTTATTATACTCTTTTAAACATGTCAAAGATAAATACTATGCACAAATAACCTTACCGTACTCTTCAACAGCAAACTTTTTTGTTTCTTTTGATCCCTGTGGATATAATTTACAAAACGAATACATTATAAATTTGGATCAAATTCAATAGTTTAAATACCACTAAAACATATGTTCAAACAAAATATTTGGATCATTATATCTCATACCTTGAAAACATTATACAGTTATGTGTATTCTTGAACTATTTATTATAAATACATTCGAGCTTATACTAATAAAACAACGAGTTGTTCGAGAACATAGATCGCTCTAAAGAATCTCCTTTAATTTCTGTTTAAGTGACTAATCTTTCGTGTGACCTTATCAAATGTCAAAGTAGGCTGATGTTTTTTAGAGATGGACGATTTTTAAGACATAACACATAGATGCATGATTATGTCTTTTGTAATTTTATCTTTTAGCTGACCAACTTACAGCCTGTGATACTTGTATCTGCCAATCACCAAGTTTCGTTACAGATGATAGTTGCAAAAAACCACCAAAAACTCCAAAATCGTCAGTTACTTTCAAATATTGCTTTACACGATTACCCAAAGTATCCTGGAATAAACATAAGCTTTATATTTTTATATCTATAGACTCAGAAGGTATAGCCTTTCTAAAAAATCTATAAAACTTGATCTCATTTTTTATTCATTATTCATAAAACCGACAGAACTTTTATCAAAACATCAACATGTTTCGTGTCGGACGTAACAAATTGTACGCACAATAACTTTTGGCGTGGCTCGGTACTTATACATCCCGCCATTGTGTTATTGTGCTATTGTCATTTTGTGTATTGCTGTCTTTCATTTTTTGCTTAGGAGCTTTGTCTATGTGTCATTTTGTTTTTCTTTGCTGACATATTTGTTTGTTTTTAAGGTGATTACGATTATAACCCAATGCTGACTGCTGTACCCCTATTTTTGACATTTTAACCTATTATGTCTGTTTGTTTTGTTCACTCACTGTTGTCAGTATAATGAAATTTTATGCAACTGTCATACAAGTGAGAGGTTTAGCTAGCTATAAAACCAGGTTTAATCCCCCATTTTCTACATAAGGAAATGCCTGTACCAAGTCAGGAATATGACTGTTGTTTTCCATTCGTTTGATGTGTTTGAGCTTTTGATTTTGCCATTTGATAAGGGACTTTCCGTTTTGAATTTTCCTTGGAGATCGGTATTTATTCGGACGTATTTAAGCTTTTGATGAAAAGGTAAAATTGGCGAAAATAAACATAAATATTCAAGGCATATTTCATTTATGATTTTGATATCAAATTTACGCTGATTTTAACTAATTTTTGGTAAAAATGAATATTATTTATAACAATAATACTCTTTATTATCTTTATTTAAAGAGGGTTACCCAATTAGTTTTCACTAATCTTACTTGGAGCCCTCATAAAGTAAGTACAAAATAATATAGTACATACAAATAAACAACAAAAAACAAACAAAAAGTATATGTACATAAGATTAATGGCATTCATAGTTTTCATGTTATTTAATAATCTATCTCTGAACACACAACTTTTTCAGATCATCAAGAGTTTATCGTGTAAGATTTTATATACTATAATTATTTCATGATATGAAATTCTGTCTCGGAAACCTAACTCATTAAATCTGTCAAAAAGTTCTCTCGATAGTGTAAAAAAAGATGATTCTAAAATTATTCTTGCTGCTCTCTTTTGTAGTTTTATTAATCTCTGGGGGTATTTTTTATTACAATTACGCCATACTGTGGAACAGTAGTCAAATATTGGTAGAATATAAGAATTATAAGATATTTCTTGATTTTTGCAGAAATAAATAACCTTGAGCTAATGGTTTAAAAAGAATGATTAATTAGCTCTTTCCTTGATGTATTCTGATTCCTAATACCTTTTTTGTATTCACCGTTTGAATAATTTTTTTATCTATACTAACATTTATATGCTTGTCCAATATATAAGAATACTAATTTGTTTTGTAGGCTTTATAAACATGTTGAGTTTATGACACCAAATATTTACTAAACAGATATCATTATTTACATTATTTTCGATAGAATATATACTATTACCAACCATGTGTAATGGTATGTCATCAGCATACTTTTCAATTTGACTGTCAATATTTTTTAATAGTAAATCATTTATAAACAATATAAAAAGGACCCTTGAGGCACCCCAAGTTTCACAGGCTCAAAATTAGATATAATATGTCTAACACAAACCCTCTGTGTTCTTACAGAAAGACAACATTCAAACCAACAAAGTGAAAAATTCGAGATCTTGTAGCATCTCAATTATTGAAATAGAATATTATGATCCAACATATCAAAAACTTTCATTAGATTTAGAAATACACAGACAATTAGATTACCAGTATCAATATTTTTCAACCAACTGTGTATTAAATTGGTAAGGGCTGCATAGCATAAGTGTTTTCAGCGAAAGCCGGATTGTGATTTGTGTAGTAATCTATATTTTGAATAAATATTAATGAAAAGCAACATGTTTCTCAAAAAGTTTAGAGAGCGTGAGCAATATGGAAATTGATCGGTAATTTCCTGGTGTTATTTTATCACCACTTTTTAAAAGAGATAAAATTGAGAATGGAAATGGGGAATGTGTTAAAGAGACAACAACCCGACAAAAGAGCAGAAAACAGTCCAAGGCCACCAATGGGTCTTCAACACAGCGAGAAAATCCCGCACGCGGAGGCGGGCTTCAGCTGGCCCCTAAACAAAAATGTATACTAGTTCAGTGAAAATGGACGTCACACTAAACTCCGAAACATATGAATGAACTAAAATTAAAAAAACATACAAGACTAACAAAGGCCAGAGGCTCATGACTTTGGACAGGCTCAAAAATGAGGCGGGTTAAACATGTTTTGTGAGATCTCAACCCTCCCCATATACCTCTAGCCAATGTAGAATAAACAAACACACAGCAATACGCACAGTAAAACTCAGTTTAAAAGAAGTCCGAGTCCGATGTCAGAATAGGTAACAGAAGAAACTAAGCAAAATGGCAATGATACATAAATTAACAAATGACTACTAGCAGTTACTGACATGCGAGCTCCAGACCTCAATTAAACTGATTGAAAGATTATGTCTTCATCATATGAAAATCAAGCCCAATCCCTCCCGTTAGGGGTTTAGTATCATACCATCATAAAATATATGAGAGGAACATAACCCGTATCATGCCAACAACTGGTTTAAGAATTAATGTGTTTATTTCCGATGCAAAGACCCTATGAGTGATTCAATATTTATTCCAAAATATGCCATCTTTAATAACCTGACAACAGTATCGTAACTATATCCCTTCTGAATAAGTCTGTTTAAAGGTTTGGTTAGCTTTTGAGGTGAATGACGATATTTTTGTGCTTTGTATATAATATTACCATAAAAGATTAGATGTGAAATACCTGAACGTATAAGATGTCTGCATGTTAATTTATATTTACGAATGATGTCGTTGTACCGATGATAAAATTTAGTAAATGTTTTGACTAGTTTGTGATATCGAAAACCCTGGTGTAATAATTTTTCAGTAATACAGAGATTTCTTTCGTTAAAATCAAATAAGTTGTTACACGAGCGAATTGAACAAGTTGAGATATATAAACACCATAAGATGGTGACAAGGGAACGTCACCATCTAAAAATGGATAATTAAGAATAGGAAATGAAAAATCATCTCTTTTATCATAAATTTTGGTATTACGCTTCCCGTTAAAGATATAGATATCAAGATCCAGGAGAGGGCAGTGTTCATTGTTAGTATTAGCTTTATTTAAAGTCAGTTCAGCAAGATAAATCTCTTTATTGTAAATACTGAAGTCGTCATTAATGAGAGCCAATATATCATCCAAATATCTAAAAGTGTTATTAAATTTTTTTATCAGATGTTGTTTCGATGGGTCTTTGCTAATTTTAGTCATAAATTGTAACTTATAACAGTACAGAAACAGGTCTGCAATAAGTGGTGCACAGTTAGTCCCCATTGGAATTCGATAACTTGACGATATACGGAATCTCCATAGCGAACAAAAATGTTTTCTAGTAAAAATTCAAGTACAGTTATCGTATCAAAGAAGGTCCAATTGACATAGTTCTTTTGTTTGTTGTTACTTAAAAATGACCTAAAAGAGTTTGAACATAACTCTTTAAAGGAGAAGGAAAAGACCCTTCACTTATGCTGAGGTTTATCAATAATAATAGTTTTCATTATGGTCAGATTTCAGAAAATAAAAAGATGTCAAAGTTTCTTTTTTTAATATACGGTGATATGTTATTTCATTTTGATAAATGATACTTCCAAAAGTACACAGATAGATCATTTCAAAACCAAATTTTTTACAACATTCACCACACAAATAACAACGCAATGATGTTCAGTAAATGTCTTTCAGAACGTTCAATGTTGAATTTCGGAGCTTTTTACGCTTAAGTTGTCAGTTGCGTCATCATTGATTAACATTTCAATTATATAACATAGGGCTCTTCCGTAATTGTATTTGAACGCTTCAAAACGACTACATACTTTTAGATAGTTTGTGTACTCAAAAATACCTTGTTTTTTTTAACAAATCCAATGTCTTGTAAGTGTGATATCGTTTAAATGAAGTGATAAGCGGATGTTAGAAATAGCAATTCATTGGAAATTGTCAAAGGGATTATTATGCTCGAATCAAAAATCAAAATCGTCCAACGTACAATTGAAATTCGTTACGTTTCATACATATATGTGCGGCATATGAAAGTTACAGTATATTTTATGCACCCGAAAAGCTGCGTTTTGATATTATATAAGTCTGCAAACATATTGGATAAATACAATTATATTTTCCCATAACTATTATCAAACTTGAGAGTTTAAAATTTTTGTGTTTTAGAAATAACTATTCAGTCTGTCAATATTAATCATAGGTGTCTGAATTTTGTTTCAATCAGTTAAGCTAACTCCGCATTATTTCTGTGATAACAATTATGTTCATGAAATAGAGAGGCGAAGGATCAGTTTTATGTTACTCTTTTGAGTTTCCAGTACATAGTACTTTATACAAACCATAGTAATAACAGTAAAACGAACACAGTTCTTTTATTGTAATATGCATGTAATTTTCTTTGCCAAAACAATAAAGAACAATTATTATAGGATCAAACTATTTTTTTTCTAGAAGCTATATGTTTGCAAACTGGGTCGATGCACATTCTTAATACAATGGATCGTTATCGACAGTTAACCTCGAAAGGAAAATGTGTCTAATCCTTATAATTCTCAACCCAAACATTTGTTATATTTCAATAAATCCTACCTTTCTTTGAACCCTGTTATTCCATTCATGTGTATCGTGCACGAATATATTACTTCGAAATCGACCTATGGTTTACAAGGGTAGCGACGGTAGTTTCAGCAACGTGGTATGTTAAAGTATAAACCAGGAAAGACATTTTTACGGACCAATCATATTCAAGTATTTGTAGATATGCAAATTATTCTCGAATTATTGAGGTATTATAGAAAATATATACTTACAAAAATTACAACGTCTAATGGATGTTCGACTACTTTAAGTGAAGGTTTCAGTCCAAATACTCTAAACTGGACTTAAATAACAAAAACAAATAATAATTAGATATGAGATACTATGTAAAAGTTGTGTTGTATGAATTGCAATAGACAACTAACAATCGCCAACGACAAAATGGGTTAATATATAGCTATACTGATTGAGGAGTGTGAATTGGCATGGTTTGATAGTAGTAGATGTTTCAGTACTTTCATCTAGTTTTCAAAGCCGTTGCTGGTGTGTATTTCGTTTTCGATGGTATCCTTAGCCAAGAAATTGACATGAAATATTATTGATAAGTTATTTGCAGATAATTTAATGTTCTTAAAACTTTGAAAATCATACGAAATTCTAAGGTTTTTTTTACCTTCAGCAATCTCTTTCGCTTTTTAAAAATCATTTTTAATGCTCTTTAGCTTCTGAAATGATTTGGCTTTCCACGTGATTTGACAAGAAACGGCGACTAGCGTATAAAATTAAAAGTTGGTACCTATGACGTGTTTTTGTAACTTTGAGCATTTATTTTACAGTGTAATATTGTTAGATATTGTTTTGTTTTTACTTGTGTCTTTTATATCATTTTATTTCAATAATATAGTGCGTCAAGAGTTCTCCTGTTAATATTTTCTTTTCATGACTATTTACATTTCTAGTTCAAAAGTAAATGCAAACATTGATGAAGAATGGAATATTTTTTTCATGAAGAAGTATATTTTAACTTTCAATTTTAAAAACATTTTTTGAATCAAAACATCACAAAGAGTTTTTGATGGCTTGCACTAGAAAACAAATATTTGTTAGATAATTGTACAAGATAATTAGTATGCTTAAATAAATCTAAATTCAAAATATAAATAAAGTGTCATACCTTTGTCACCGGGTCTGTAAACTGGTCTGTCTGTTTGTATAAATAGTGATGAGTTCTTCCCGTCAATTCGAATATTGTAAAAAGTTTTATGAAAAACTAGACTTCCAGTACTTATGATATGAAGTTGATATCCGCTTGTTGGCACTATATTATCTGGAATCTAATCATAGTAAATTTTACAGGAAAAACCACGTTACACAGACGGATGATCTATCAACATCTTTAAGTTCGTTATACCAAATCTTTTAATTATGAACTTGAAATCTTACCTAGGGTTTTATATATATATATAGTTTTTTATATGTCAAGTCCATTTATTGACTCTGAACATAATGATTTTTTTTAAATTTATTTGTTTGATGAAAAAATATGTATAAAAAGCTACAGGGTTTATCATATCATCCATTTGATGATGCAGAAAGAATTGTATAACTGAAAGAATGTTGAATTTTGCCATTTTGAAAATAAATATAATTTTTCAAATAGTTAACTACCCTGCTTTGATGAAATGAAACAAAATCTGTTTGAGATATTGGAAAAGTAATCTCGTAAAATTGTATCGACCATACTGTTGTCCAACACCACATTACTAACGTCGTTAAATGCATCACCAGTACACTACCGACACTGTGCTGGTACAGGATATGCTTCATAAGGTACAAAGGTTACAGAATAGAAAACAGCATAACTGTTTTCTGGAAAACCTTTCCCTCAAAGCAACACAACTTATATAACATTGTCAGTGGACACCATGCATATTGTTGACAGTTTAATAAAGGAAATAGAAACATTACCTTTAGTAATGAGAAAAATCATTACCTTAAGTAAAGGGGAAAACCATTACCTTAAGTAAAAGGAAAGAACATTACCTTAAGTTTGATAAATTCGGGTTTTCCTAGACATTAAATAATGTAATCAATAAACTAAATAACACATAATTAAGTTATAGTATAAATATTAAAAGTATAGCAGTTCAAATTTTAACTTAACCAGACCTTCTTTGTAGTTCAGTAGTCTGCAGTATTTTTTCATGCCATTGTTTAAAACATATATTTACTATGCATTCACCGTTAACAGATTTAAAGATTTCTGTTGTCTGCAAATTATTTTTACACATATACGGTTTATCAGGAGAGGGTAATTTTACAATCAGATACGGCATATTCCTGTAGAAGCAATACATATTACTTCTGCAGGTTCTCACAAAAATTATAGATACGTATGATAAACCTTGGTAATTCTAGCAGTCCGAATATTTTGATAATTACCTTTCTCATTCAGACAATAAAATGTATGAAACATTATATATTTTCTTTATTGCTACATATTGAACTGTTTTATAGAGACAAAACTTGATTACTTGTGCAGAAATATGTTGGACACTCGCTGCATATCTGAAAAATGCATTACTTTCATTGATGCTATACTTAAAGACCATCAAAAAAGCTTCTGTCTGTGAATTATCAAATCATGTACAAAGAAGATTGATAACAAAAATAGGGTATATTGAATTTTAATGATTTCCTGCACCTTGTCTGCCTTGTGGAGCATCTTCTTCCAACCATGTGTATTTTAAAATATAAAGGGAAAAGGCAATTGTCTCCTGACTATACTTTACAGACAGAGTCAAATGAGGAATGCTGATGAAACTTAGTTGAATAGGAAGATTTAATTTTCATTTATTTTTAGTAATGTCTTTATTTTCTTCTTATTTTTTATCGCTATATTTTGCTTTGCTCCACAAATTCAACCAAAATTCATTGGTAATTGCTGTAAGTCAAAAGAAAAAAAACATTCGCTTACAAAATATTATATATATTGGTTTATTCATTGCTTTTCTACTTCTGGAAATTTGCCAAAAGCTATAAAAAGTGCAGCGTGTTAAAAGTGCTTGAGGGATACGATTTGTTTGTATCTCTACTCACTAGCGATATGTTTTCGTAGTTATAGATCCTAAGATACCAGTATTGTCCTCTGATCTGTAATTTTGCCAATTGTGTGTTATTCCCGAATATAAAATTTTGATCTTGTCGACGACCCGGTCTCGCTCTTTTTTGCAACTCCCTCAGTTTCTGTTTGTTACCTTGATTTGTCTCTTCGTACTCGATTAACGAGATTTGAACATTGATAATCTACTGTCGCCTTAATCAAGGAAGCCATCTTTTTAACATGAAATGGAGTAAAGATATCGCGGAACTCTGACAATCATAAATGGACAAAAAGACAACATAATAGTCAAAAGAAAAAGACAAGAAGACTAAAAACGGTCTCCAAAATTACTATCCAAATCATAAAGTGTTATTTTCATCATCCATCCATCGTTGCTCAATGACCAATAAATTTTCATTCAAATAAGGTAATGTTACAACTAAAAAAAGAGGATGGTATTGTAGCTATTAAAACCTGAATATACTTGTAGCAGTAAGTTACACAGATGCTCCATAGCGGGAATTCCAATGATGATGGCGTCAATTAAACTTTCGAAAGGATGATTTGAACTTTACTATAAGAACCTGCTTTTCAATAGCTACCTCATTAGCAGCAAACCACGATTAACAGAATCATAATAGGAAACGCAATGTCATGCTTATTGATATTATTGGCCGGTGATGATGAATGGTGCTGCATAAAAATGAAAATTACTACATACAAGTCAACAGATGAAGCGCAACTAACAGCTGTATATTTGGTATCATATTTTTTTTTATTTTAATGGGATAGCTTTGAGTCAACTGACACTAATCTTTGAATTTTGCAATGAGAGGGCTTCGTCTGTATGGCGGCTTCATTTCATTAACTTTTTGGGATAAACCCTGTATGGAATCAGGACTCAAACAAATTAATAAATTTAGTCGGTGTTAATGAAGCACCTACTGGTCTCCATACGAATCCCAAGTGTATGTATATATTTAATAAACGTAAAACAGGTTCAATCATCTTCAGATGTCATATTCCGAAACCTTGTTTATAGGGCATGATTTGTCCTTTCTAAAACTTACCCTTCCAAAGCAACCGTAGATCTTGTATTGCTCATCATTTTTGCCTATCTATGTTTTTATCCATCTCTTATAATTTTTCCGATATAAGGAAAAAACAAAAACAAAAAGTGGAAAAAATCGTCATTAAAGGGCAATTACTCCAATAAGGAGCCGTTGGACGATTTCAACCATGTAGACTGATTAGAAGATTTTGTCTTGTTAATCATTTATGCTTATTTAAGTTTGTACCTATCTATTATATAGCTTTTTATGCAAAAACGCAAAACAAATGATGAAAATTGTCATTAAAGAGCAACAGCTTCAATAAGGAGTCTTCTGACGATTTCACTTATTTATAGATCATGTCTTGATGATCATTATTGGCGATTGCTATTTACAGTCCGTTTCTATGTATGTTGGCGTTTGCTTTTGTTGTAGTTCAGTGTTTCTGTTGTTCCGTTGTTTTCCTCTTATAGTTGATGTGTTTCCCTCGGTTTTGTTTTTTACCTGGATTTCTTTTTGCTTAATCGAATTATGACTATTGAACAGCGGTATACTACTGTTGACTTAATTAAGTTTCTCTCTCTCTATCTATTATAATTTTCAAGATAATAGGCAATAATGAAGAAAGAAAATTAGTAAAAATAGTTACTTAAAGGCAATAGCTCTTATAATAAGTTGTCTGACTGTTTTGATGTGATTGGACACTCATTGGACAAATATTTTAAAATAGATATCCTAATGATGATTGTTGCCAAGTTTGGTTAAGAGGAGAAGATTTTTGTAAAAGTTAACCGTCGACAGACGACATACGACGGACGCCAAGTGATGGGAAAACCTCACATTGGCCCTTCATGCAAGGTATGCAAATAATACGGTAAAATTGACTATTAAATTTTACACAATACCAGTAAATGTCATATCTTATAGTGTTATCGAGTTTGACTTTATTAATTACCTGGTTTTCCGCGGAAAATTCTGGATGCTCCTGCAACAGTTTTTGAACTGCTAGTTTTAAAGAGGGTAACAATGTTTAACTTTTGTGGTACCTTCACAAAAATTGTGATAGCTACATCGAGGTCTATCCCTATCCTTGTGACCTTCGGAACTGTAACCATATAAGTACAGCTAGAAAAAAAAATAATGTACAACTTACTTCATTATACTTATCAAATGGGTGTCAGTTCTAAAAACTAACCTAATCCGTAAACAAATGGAGTAATGTTAAAAATGATAATTATTCATAATTTTCCCGATATATTTATAAATGCAAGTTAAAGTTTTCGTTTTTAAATGATGTAACGTCATTATGTACTTAAAATCCAAAATAGTGTGTATACTTGTTTATTACGAATAAGTGGTCCTGTTCATTAGATAAATGATTTTACATTAATCTGAATGTTAATAATATTATTATTACGAAGGAAAACGAGCTTTTTTTATATAAAAGTTGAAATAATACTAAACAAAGTGAGAAACACTTACTTTTGTGATTTGCAGTACATAGGCAGTAAAAGAAGAAGTAAAACAGTCAGATTCATAGTTGTTGTCTACCTATAAGGCTATATCAGTCTGAAATCAAAATACTTTTTTTTCAATTTAGGTATCTCCACTCGTTCGTTACCTTAAAAATGAAAACAACACGTTATAAATTTCATGCGTTCGACGCGCTTATCTGGATTTACCTTCATCAGGAACGCTTAAAGCCGAAAATTTTAAAGCCAAGGGTGTATAAGAACCAAAACAGTTCAAGAGCTATATAACCAAAAAGGACCTCAAAACTAGCCAAATCCATCAAAGGTCAACTTTGCCTGAGGTGGTTAAAACCTTAGTTTCTCAAAGGATCGTAAACTATTATTGTGAAGAAGGAATAAACTTTATCAAAACGTAATTTTTTACAAAGATTTTTCCTCTTTTAATTTTTCCTAGAAATAAATGAGATTACGAAGTACTTGTTGAAAATCCTCCTTTTGACTTCTGTTTTAATTTTCTCTCTTTCTTCTTTAAAATTTTACCTTACAATGGTCAACTGCAATTTTGTCCTCTCCTCCCAATTTTTGGCCACAACAATATTGAAAATAAAAAACGATAATGAAAGAGGACACTGATTAACTTCCAGACTATACGACTGTAGGAAGGTAGTTTTTTGTGCTTGTCACTTTCAGGAGCTTGTCCTCTCCTACTTTCAGTCCACTACTACGCTACTGAAACTAAACGAACTAATTAGAAAATGGTAGTTGTGTTGTCACAATAAGCGATTATACTCCTATTTCATGATTTAATTATTGTTTGTGATGAAAATCAAAGAAACGTTATGTGTAATAGAAGCACTTTATTTATTTGTCTTAGAAATCAAAAGTCAAAAGACACGCTATGGAAACATAGCAACCGCCAGTTAACTTGGTGGTTATGAAAAACCGTTTGGTATAATTGTCAAAAAATATATATTTTAAAAATATGTACTAAAAACAAATACTGCACTTGTCCCTAAATAAATTGAAATGATATTTTATACTCATATATCCCGTTACGAGGCTCCAACATCTGCCTCCTTCACCTGAGTAGGGAACATAAAAGTGTAATATGATGTCAGGTAAACAAAATACTACTGTGTCTCACATTAAAGAATCATCAACATGTCACAACTACTGTTTCACCTATGAGTCTTATTTAGACGTAATGTGTTACTGGCGTACTAAGTTATAAGCCTGGTATTTACAAACGTCAAAATTGTTACCTGTTAATATTTTATATCATGAATTCAAAACTATCGGCTTTACTGTAAAAAGAATTACCTAGGATAAGTATAAAGATAAATTCATGAGGTTCAAATTATGGTTGTTTGGCTGTATGTTACATATTGATAGATTTTAATATGCTAAAATAAATTCAAATCGACTTAAAACTCAATTAAGCATTTCTTTAAATTTCATGAGTTGCAAGTAAGACAAAAATGTAAATATCAGCAAAATAAAGTCAGTTAATGCTTAAACCACTAAATTATGTTAGGGTAACGTTTTAATCAATGCCTTATTATAATAATTGATAAATATAATGGACGTTTCACAGAGATTTCATGAAATATATACAACAAAATGTGATGGTAAACTTTTGCTAATTTTAAGATAAAAGTAACATACCAGTTATTTTGTTTATACAACATCAAACAATAAGGCCCAATACATGTTTAAGCAAACCCTGTCTCCAGCATTCAACGGACAAATGCTTTGTCTGAGAAAAGCTTATTGTCCTACTTCATTAAGTGTTACCTAATTAATATAATGAATGCATCAAATTTAAGGCCATGTTATTTGATGTATTGTTGTTTATATGTTGTAATTTTATTCGATGAAAGGTATCCCTCGTTTCATCATGTTCGTGTATCTATGATGAGTTTTTTGTTACCAGTTAAATTTCGTCTGTATTTTGCAATGTGAAAAAAGAGAGGTATATATCTAACAAATGAGCTGCGTCGCATAGAAATCGACCTAATGCCAATGAATATCAATACATCTGTTAACCTATTTCGGGTTGAAAAAAATATCTACGGTAAGTATGTAACTATTTGAAAATTGAGTTGTTCTAACATGTATAAGAACCCTACAAAACAGACTATAATTCTTTTATTTCGTACTCAAGTTTTATATTCATGAAAGTGAAAGATAACTTACCAACGTCTTGTATGTTTAGAGTGTCCACCTGGTCTAATCAGACAGTCATATGCGCTTTTAATAGAACAAATGGATTCTGCGTAGATGAAAAAAAGACTTAAAATAAACAATGTGTAGCTGCAGATGGTAAATCTGAAACTTAAGAGGATAATGTTTTATTAAACGATCATGTTGTATCCATGAATAAATAATAAGAAACGTAAAAGCACCAGGAAGTTTTGTTTTATTACAATAATTGAATTTACTTATTTATCCATTCTCTCAAAGATATAAAGACATTATAAAAAACATTCTTTAACATTCGATATTGTAATCCTATCTGTTGGAGAAGCAGCGAATCATCGTGCTAGGTACCAATAATGATGAACACAGACGTATTTCATGTTAAAATTATACAATTGTTTGATAAATTTCTTTCCTTCTTACAATTCCAAATACTTTTTTAAACATGCAGCTATAGAATCCGAAATATGTAACCCTACCCGTTGGAAAATCTAGTATTCACGTAAATAAGAGGAGCATTACGATGAGTGCCCCTCAATAAATCGTCGTGCCAGGCACTGAGGTAAAACAAAAAGTCGGTATTTCACGTGAAAATATAGAAAGTTTTATTTTTCATCCTTCCAGAGCAACAAAAGTCATTGAAGAAGTTCATCTTGCTCGGACTTTGGTGTTTTTCTTTGATTTTTAACATAAACGTCATTTGGTCTCTGATGATAGATGCCGGCTCATTGGCAATCCTATAACATGTCCTCATTTTTCATATATATATCATTAGGTAAAATATGAAAGGCGGTAGCATTTAGACAACAGTTTTGAGTGCGATTGTTTGTATTTTTATATTACTAATTTTAGTAATTTCACATCTTTTAAGAATATGAACATCGCAGATATCTTGCACCTGATATCATCATGAAATTGGGAAATGAGAAAATAAACATAAAAGCACAATAGCAACCAGGGACAAAATTAATTATTTCAACATGCATATGTATATGTGGCGGGCAATTTTGTCTAATTTCCTCTTGTGACATGTTGACTGAGTGAGGATTCGAATGGATTCGAATGGATTTATTTTCCTGATAAACGTGGTAATACACACTCTTCATATTGTAAATTTTACATCTGAGCATACATTATTAATAAATTGTTTGAATCATCTCTTCGAAAATTTGACGGACGCCATCCCGAGTTGGTTGACCGTTATAGAATATCTGTTTCATAGATGACGATGTTCCAATTGTCGTAACTACAATCTCGTTCCCTTCCCCCGAATCTGACCTACCGAATTAGACATATCACCGGGTTTGTACTTACATGAGCAACACGACGGGTGCCACATGTGGAGCAGGATCTGCTTACCCTTTCGGAGCACCTGAGATCTCCCCTAGTTTTTGTTGGGGTTCATGTTGCTCAGTCTTTTGTTTTCTATGATGTTTGGTGTGCTGTTGTTTGTCTGTTTGTCTTTTTCTTTTTTAGCCACGTGTTGTCCGTTTGTTTTCGACTTATGAGTGTGAGTGTCCCTTTGGTATCCTTCGCCATTCTTTTGACATGGAGATGTTCTACCTAATGTGCACCTCATCCCATGTTATGTGTACTCACAATACATAAGTCAAAAATAAACTGAAATAAAGGTAACGAGTAAGGTAGTTTTTGCACTTTTGCGTGTGAAGATTAGAACATATATAATGCATATGGAGGTGGGGATAATGTAATTGGAATCTTTCCTGCCACCATCGATCGAACTTGCAAAGTTTTTTTTCGGCTCTGCATATCTGAGCGCTGACTTCGGGTATGCGGTTCGATTGTCGTATATTTCTGTTGAGAATCAGGCTCTTTTGTTACGGGAAATGTATAAAATGTTATCTTCATTTATACTTATATACTCCATGATTTCTATTGTAACTAAGAAAGTGAATTGCATTAAAATTAGTCGATAAAACTTTGTCAAATTATTTAATATCCCACATAGTGAAATATCCATATATGCAATGTCCCTTTCCGCTACCATCCCAAGTATTTCTTTGAAAATAACACCTATAGAGATTCATAAATTGCCTTAAATTAATTTTCATTGAGATAATTAATTTATAATGGCAACTATAAAAAAAAATTTACACCGATTTAAAACTTATATTTTTCTAACGAAAAGACACCTCATTTTCGACATATCTGTTACTGTCTCTAAGCTATAAAATACGATTTAAGAGTTACAAAACATATTGTTATAATAAAACAATTGATCTATGTCGATGTCAGCTGAAGGTAAATGCTAACGGCGTTTGTAGGTGGTTTACCTATTTGTAGGATTTTTATGATACGAACGTATGGTACCGGTGTTAGTGCATACGCCACGTGCTTCTAGGAAAGTTATCAAGAGGCTTTACGTCACCGCTTTAAGTTTGTGGTTTGATAAGAAAAATAACATTCTAGGGATTTCTGTGGTTGGTTTTTCTTTATCGTTTTGTAGGATTTTTTGTGTTTGGTTTGAAATTGATTGTTTTTTTTTTATTGAAGGTATTATTTTTTATTGTGAGTACATTGAAATATTGGTTTCGATGATGGGCTTCAAATATACTTAACGAAGGATTGTTTTTATATGTTTGAACACAAATTATTATATTCAATAACTTTAAAATATGATAGATTTCTTGAAGTGTTGTTACACTGGTGCAAATGGCAACTGTGGATAATTCTTTTATTCTTCTTGAGTTCACACATTAAAACAAACTTTATCATTAAGGTTCTTTGTAAGCTATCACAGCTCCATGATGAAACGTTTGTGAACCATATATTAAAAATATTAAGAAAATATTTCTTCTTGACAATCTACTATTCAACATGTTCAATTAAACAGAAATACTGGGTGTCCATTTCGCTGAACTAGTATACATTATTGTTTAGGGGCCAGCTGAAGCCCGTCTGCGTTGAAGACCCATTGATGACCTTGTGCTGATTTCTTTTGTATGTTTGTTGTCTCTTTGACACATTGCCCGTTTCCATTTTCTATTCTACTGTTGTCTTATTTTACCTTGACCATGAGTCCAAATTAGAGTTTTGAATTGATGGATCAAGCAGTATCCGCTTTGCGAAAACACTTATACGTAGAAGTAAGAATTCATTTCATACCAATGTTGTCAAAATTCTTGGTGTTTGAAAGTTGCCGTCTATGGATAGTTAATGAAAAATATGTCATTGCAATTGGTAGACGATTTTCTTATCATCATATTTTGTCTTAATCATATTACAATTTTAGACATAAATGACAGTCAACATTGAAAAGGGATTTTGAATAGGATCAAATGATTAAAATAGCCACATTTTAAATACTACTCCCCTTCTTAACCACTCTTTACAAAACAAGCATGAGTTACAGACAACATATGCGATTATATAAACATTTAGTCCTCAAAAAATCTCCCCAATCAAACATAATATTTTTATTCAATACTGTGTTATTTTAGAAAAATGACTCGAGTTTACCAAAATTCGAAATTTATTCCCTACATTGGTAAAGCAAGCGATGTCCGGTCTAAGAACAACCTTACATCAGAAAAAAAAATGGAAACAACGCGTTATAAATTACATGTGTCCGAAGAGCTAGTCTCGATTAACCTTCATCAGGAACGCTCAAAGCCGAATGTTAGAAAGCCAAGGGTGTATTATAAGAACCAAAACAGTTGAAGAGCTATATGACCACAATGACCTAAGTAAAAATAGCCAAATCCATCTTAGATCAACTTTGCCTGAGGGGGTTGAAACCTTAGTTTCTTTATGATTTATAAATGGACATTTTTAGAAATGTTTGTTAGAAATCATGTCACTACCGAAGTGCTGACTATTCCGTTGATGAAACCATTGAAAACTATTCTCAGAAAACATTTAACTCGATGAAATAAACTCATCATAGATACCGGAATTATAAGTGTGTACGCCAGACACGAGTTTCGTCTACAATTGGAATAAAGCCCAACCCGGTTTTCTTACTGAAAATCCTTTCTTTTTCTGGATCCTCGCCGACTACTTCCTCACGTTCTTTCATTATAAATGTATACATGACAATCGATCTTCTTGCAACATGCGTTGAATATAAAAATATAACCCGACATAAATAAACGATAAAGTTCTTATTTAATGTGGTAAATATAAAAGCGAATTAAATACTGCGCAATATAACTTGTAGTAACAAACGCAATTATCGAAGTTCAGGCAATGTCAAATTACTCAATCATGGTCTTAATATAATGGAACTATAAACAACTGTCATGCAAGTGGCAGGTTTAGCTCGCTATAAAACCAGGTTTAACCCACCAATTTTGTCGGGAAATTCCTGTACCAAGCAAGGAATATGGCAGTTGTTTTTCACTTGTTCTGTTGATAGATAGCATTTGATTTTGTCACCTTTTATGGATTTCCCTTTTTGAATTTGCGTTGGAAGTTCGGTATTTTTGTTATATATTTTTTTCTAAAAATGGTATCCCATGATAATAAAAATGTACTTTGTTACTATAGAGCGTTTGTATTTAAAGGGCATTGCTAACAGCCAGTGTCTATGCGTGAGTCCTCAAATTATGCAATATTCATATTATAAAAAAATAAATTATTCTTTACCCGCCATCGTCCTTACAATCTGTGTCTTAAATGCAAATTACTGTCATTAAACTTAGTTTGCCAGTTTGCCAACTTTGATTTTAGGTTTCAGTATACCTTATGTTAGATAAGTATGTTGACACAAATCACTCTGAAATGCTTCCTACTTTAAGACAAGGGCAGTTTTCCTAGTTTAAGAACACATTATATATAGAACGGGTAGACGCGTTGTTACTGTACAGATATCATCTAGACCTTATACAAATTAAATACTGTCGGAAAGTGTGCATCCGTTGACAAAGCAGCCAACAACATCGTCTTTATTTGATGTAAGAACATTACTAATTTACTCAAAACTGAAATCACAAATTCATTCATATTTACAACTTCTACTGAAGAAAGTTCGTATGTAAATATGTTTCAACGGCGACTAAGCTGAGAGCTGATACTGAACACCA